AATCGACCTTCTTTCTTTAATGGCACATACTATAATTATTGGAAGATTATGATGATGATTTACATTTAGTCTATTGATTATAATATTTAGGAAGTTATCGAGTATGGTCCTTATAAGCCTATCAGACCATTAAGATAGGCGGTCAACTCGATCAAACTATCCCCAAACCTAGAGAAGAGTACGATGAAGAAGACAAAAGAAAATTATCCTTAAATTTTAAGCCAAAGCTAAGAATTTACTCTATTGTGTATTAGATAAAAATGAATTTAATCGTATTAGTACTTGTGAATCCGCATATGATATTTGGCATCCACTTGAAGTTACTCATGTTGGCACTAGTAAAGTTAAAGAAACAAAAATTAATATGTTAGTCAAGAAATTTGAAAATTTCTTTATAAAACAAAATGGATCTATTGTTGATATGATTACTCGTTTTATCGATATTGTAAATGGTCTAAAAGGATTCGATCAGAACTTTATTAATGGTGTACTTGTAAGCAAAATGCTTAAGTCGTTCTTGGAGAAATGTAGCCCTTTAAGGATGTTGATAGAGAATACCAAGGATACAAATACATATCCCTTGGAAGAATTCTATGGAACCTTGATGACCTATGAACTTAATAATATCGAAATCAAAGAGAAGACAAGGAAAAGTAAAGAAGAATCAAATGAGGCTCCTAAGCGGAAAATTGCTCTAAAATCGACACTTGATGAAGGAACAACGAGTAGCAACATGAGTGATGAAGAGCTCGCTGACTTGGTTCTTCTTGTCAAAAAATGGAGAAACGTTCGGAACAATCGAAAATTTCAAAAGAAGGAAGAAAAGAGCGAAGAAAGAGGCAAGAAAATCATTTGCCATGACTGTAACAAACCCGATCACAAGATAACAGAGTGCCCAAACAAAAAGAAGAACATCAAGAAGAAGGCACTCCACGCAACATGGGATGAAAGCGACGATGATGATTTCGATGAAAATATAAGTCAAGAAGAAATCGCCAACAAGTGCTTCATGGCAATCAATGATGAGGTAAATTCTATTGAAAAATTCTCATATGATGATTTGTCTTCCTTTTATGATGAAATTTGAGAAGAATTTGAAAAATGCTTTTATCCATTTTATTCTTAAAAAGAAACATAAATTATTAAAAAGTGAAATGGATAAAATTTTGGAATTCAAAAAGGAAAATATTGATAATGATTCATTGTATAAAAAAAATTATTCTTTGAAAGAAAAGGTTGAAGACTGGACAAAAAATATTTTTAAATTCACTCAAGGGAAGAAAAATTTTGACTTAATACTCGGTAATAAAAAACGTGTTTTTGATAAATGAGGTATTAGATATGAATCTTTTTTAAAACAAAAATCTCTAAAAAATTTATTTGTCAAATTTTCAAATACAATTCTGTCAAAAACCACTTGTAGCTTTTGCGACAAAGATGGATATATTGGCTACAATTGTCTAACAAAAAAAAAGTTACACTTTGAAAACAAGTGGACTTGAGGATCCATTAAAACTAACTACCAAGAATCCAAACTTGTGTGGTTACCAAAAATCAAAAGTTGAATTGTTATTGTAGTTACCAAAGAAAATGACGAGCAAATGCTTATTGGATAGCGAATGTTCAAAGCACATGATCAGAGATAAAACCTTACTATCAAATTTTAAAAAAAAAATGATGGAGGTCATGTCATATTTGGAGACAATGCAAAAGGAAAAATTATCGGAATTGGAAACATTGATAATCATCTCTCCCCTTCCGTTGAAAATGTAAGTTACATTTTGAAAACAAGTGGACTCAAGGATCCACTAAAACTAACTACCAAGGACCCAAACTTGTGTGGGTACCAAAAATCAAAAGTCAATTTGTCATTGTAGGTACCGAAGAAAATGACGAGCAAATGGTTCTTGGATAGGGGATGTTCAAAACACATGACCGGATATAGAACTTTACTATCAAATTTCAAAAAGAATGATGGAGATCATGTCATATTTGGAGACAATGGTAAAGAAAAATCATAGAATTGGAAACATTGGTAATCATCTCTCCCCTTCCGTTGAAAATGTACTATTGATAGATAACCTTAAACATAATTTACTTAGTATGATATTTATAGGGAGCCGTAGTAAAGATGTTTATATCTTACATATCGAATTTGAAAATAATGAAAAATGTCTTTTGAGTTTGAAAGATGATACTTGGTTGTGGTATAGAAGATTAGGTTATGTTAGCGTGAACATTCTCTAAAAAAATTTCAAAAATTGTTTTGTCAAAGGATTACCAAACTTAAAATTCAAAAAAAACTAGAGTTTGTGATGCTTGTCAATTTGGAAAAAAAAATGTAAAAAGTTCTTTCAAACATAAAGTACACTATTCAACTACGAAATCATTACAACTTCTCAACATGGATTTTTTTGGGCCATCTAGAATCGCTAGCTTGGGCAGAAACATTATCATTTTGTAATTGTTGAATTTCTCAAGATTCACTTGGGTTCTTTTCTTGAATCTTAAGGATGAAAAGACCTTCAAACATTTTTGCAAAAAGATTCAAAATGAAAAATGATATTCAATTTCAACCATTAGAAGTGATCATAGTGGAGAATTTGACAATCTCGCATTTGATTAGTTTTGTAATGAAAATGAATATGAGCATAATTTCTCGATTCCCAGAATTACTCAACAAAATGGTATAGTAGAAAGGAAGAATTGTACATTACAAAAAATGGCTAGAACCATACTTAACGAAAATAATTTTCTAAAATACTTTTGGGCCGAAACCGTTAATTTCGCTTGTTACATTGTAAATAGAGTTTTTGTTAGTCGTAAGAAAACTAAAACTCCCTACGAATTTTGGAAAAATAGAATTCTCAATATTAGTTACTTTAATAATTTCGGTTGCAAATGTTTTATTTTGAATACAAAAGATAATTTGAGAAAATTCGATTCAAAATCCGATATTGGTATTTTTCTAGGATATTTATCAACTAGCAAAGCTTATAGAGTATTTAACAAAAGAACTCTAGTCGTTGAAGAATTCATGCATGTCACATTTGATAAGACTAACTCACTTGATCGTGAGAAAGGCATTGATGATAATGTAGGTTTGGATAAAATTATATTTGTACTTAATTATAATTCTGCAACAAAGCTTGATAACTCCTACAAACCATTTGTCAGAATCCTTAAGTATCTCAATAATCCAGAGATGGGGCAAATTTAGTTTGAGGATAGCGATCACGCGTTTAGGCCTTCCAATCTTATTACGGTATTGTGTTTGTGGTTCGTTGCAGATTTTGGTGTATTTATTCTCATATTCCCGGTGCCATTTCCAACACCATATGTTTGGAAGTTGGGAAGAATTATTATTTACTGAAAATTGGAATACACAATGACAACAAACTAGCAAGAATTATGTATGCTCTGATACTACTTATTAGGAATTAAGGACAAGATTATATGACATAATATGGAGTAACAATCACAACAAAAGAAGAGCACAAGAAATTTGTCAAGAGGAAATGAAAATTCACTATAATATGAAAAATAATACAAGGATATTATGTTTACAATATTGTCTAACTTTTTCTAATTATAAAGAAGTGTATACTATGTATAGGGAACATGCCAAAACCTTAATACAAGTTCTAAAAATGGAAATAACATAAAAATGATCACAAGCTGGAATACAACGACGCTCGAGCGCTAGTCTAACGCTAAGCGAGCGACGGGTTGGCGATGAGCAAGCGCCAAGCTCCCTGCTTTGAATGCTGGAGCAGGAGCTTGGCGTGCAGCAAGTGAAAAAATTCAGAAATCATTCTTTGGTCCATATTTTGACCTTTTCAAGGCCCACTTCAACTAATCCACCAAAATCTAATCGAACTTTGATCAAACTTCAACACACAAGTTATGCACAGACTCAAGTTCCAATTGTAATTTGTTAAGGAATTAGACGTAGTCTCAAAACAGAAGAAGAAATTATTTACGAACCATGTTTTGACTAGACCCACAATTTAAACTGGTTGTACGATTAGCTATCTTGTAGACAAATTTGTGGCCTAATTATTGTACATTGAAAACTATGATTGTGTTGACTCAAAAAAATAAATGAAAATATGGTTATTAACTAGGTCCGTCCGACCAGAGAATCAACAATTCGACTCGAGTAGACCACTTTAAATTCGTTATAAAATTTCAAACAATCAAAATGTTTTGTACTTTTAGAAGTGTCTTTAAAATCGAATGCCAAACACACACTTGAATGTGCACTTAGCATATATAAGTGAACTATAATTATCAACAACGGTAATTTTTTTGTCAATCCATATTAACAACTTTTTATTTTTTATTTTTTTAACCTTCAAATAAAAGTTACACACGTACGGTTGTTAAACTATGTTGATTTTATAATTTTTTTAAACTTCCAAAGACTAAAGACTAGGATAAAATATTTTCCGAATTTAATTAAGATAAAATGAGTGCTTTCTTATAGAAAAAAAATTAAAGAAATCAAATTATGTTTAATAATTGCATATTCAAAGAGTTTGTTTTGTTTCTACTAATTCTTGCTAATTGCATATTGCATCCAGCCCTAGCAATTTTTTTTTTTGAACTTTATGTTTTTTTTATATCGTTTTCTAAAGAAACAAAAAATAGAAAAGAAAATTATAAAAGCGCTTGGCTATAGAGTGTGAACCAAATCGGCTTGTCATCATATGACTAAATCTAAATGTTCGACTCTCTTTTGTACCTTTAGATTCTATCTTGACCAAGTACTTTACTAAAGTAATCCAATACCATTCTTCACTTACCTTAGCATAACTATGCATTGTTGTCATTAATTCTTCATTGGAGCAGAATGAAATGGTTCCATTAATTCTCCTATTCATGGAACCACTTTCCCTATTTTTCTGCCAAAAACTAATCTCATCTTCTCAAAATTTGGACCATGCATACTTATAAATATACCACCTCTCTCTTAATTCATATTGCACCAAATCAGAATGGAGGTGTTAAAGAAACATTCTTCATTCTGTGCACTTTTATTCTTAACCTCTCTTGTCCTTCACCACTTTAATGCCGTGCATTCTATTGGTGTCAATTATGGCACCCTTGGAGACAACCTCCCACCTCCTGCTCAAGTTGCACAATTCATCAAGGACAAAACCATCATCGATCGAGTCAAGATTTTCGACGTAAATCCAGACATCATCCGAGCCTTTGCCAACACTGGAATCTTCGTCTCGGTTACCGTGCCTAATGGTGAAATACCGAACCTTACCAACGTCCGGTATGCTCGAAGATGGGTGGATGCCAACATCAAGCCATTCTACCCACAGACTAAGATCAATTACATCCTTCTAGGCAATGAAATCCTACATTGGGGTCCTCAAAATTTACGAGACGACCTTGTTGCTGCAATGCGGACACTTCACAAGGCTCTCGTGCGTTCTGGATTAGGCGGCATTCGTGTTACAACAGCACATTCATTGGCCATTCTCGAGTCATCCCAGCCTCCTAGTTTGGCCAAATTCAGGCCTGGTTGGGACAAGGGTGTTTTGGCCCCAATGCTGCAATTTTTGAGGGAAACAAAATCTCCTTTTATGGTTAATACATACCCATATTTTGGATACAGCCCAGAACTTGCAAACTTTGCGCTCTTTAGGCCAAACAAAGGCGTATACGACAGGTTCACGAGAAGGACTTACACCAACATGTTCGACATGTTTCTGGATGCCGTGTTCATATCCATGAAGAAATTGGGATATGGAGATGTGGAAATCGTCGTGGGGGAGACAGGTTGGTCGTCTCAAGGTGAGGTATTTGAACCAAAATGTACAGTCCCAAATGCAGCTTCCTACAATAGAGGCTTGGTGCAAAAATACAACTCGGGACAGGGGACACCATTGCTGCCTAGAAAGAAATTCGAGACATACATTTTTGCACTCTTCAATGAGAATCAAAAAACGGGCTCTATGGCTGAAAGAAATTTTGGGCTATTCCGGCCAGATTTTAGTGCCGTGTATGACATTGGCATCATGCGCAGAGGAGCAGCCACTGCAAAGCCTCTTCCAAGACCAGCATTGCCAGCACCGGCCGCTCCAAAACCAAAACCAGCACAGGGCGGGAAAAAATGGTGCGTGCCGAAAGCATCAGCCACCGATGCAGCATTACAAGCCAATATCAACTATGTTTGCAGCCAAGGTTTCGATTGCAAGCCAATTCAACCCGGTGGTGCCTGCTTCAATCCCAACACAGTCAGGGCTCATGCATCTTATATCATGAATGTTTACTATCAAAAAGAAGGACGTAATAATTTCAACTGTGATTTCCGCAACACTGGTGCGATCACAGCTTCTGATCCAAGTAATGGGCCATGCGTTTATGTGTCTTAAATCAGCTATCAAGGAGCTAAAAATGAAATTACTTATTTATATTAATTAGTTGTCTTCCTCACCAGTTTTGGGATAATATATAGTCTTACAATCGATAGAACTTAACACTTGTTCTTTAAAAACTTAATAAGAAAATTGTCCGTGCAAAAAAAAAAAAGGAATAACTATTAACTTCTATGGATTTTTTATTTATCTTTTTAAATTTTTGAATAAGAAACTGAAGACCATTTTTTCCCTTTCCACGTTTTTCTTTCCTCGACAGCTTTTGCCCAATTGTGCTATATCTATGTTCTTGCTGCATCTTTTATAAAATACAAGATATGAAATGAAGGCACTTCCATACTAGCAGATAATGGTTTTGGGGTGGTCGGGGCTAGACCGGAGCTGGTGGCGGCGGCCAAGGAGGAATGTGCTGGTGGGGTGGCACGGGGGACATGAGTTGGTTTTTTGTTTTCCTATTCTCTTTATTTTTTGTTTAATTAAAAATAAGGTAATACTTCAATTTTTGTTAAATTTTGACTTGTGCAATAAGGATTACAAGTGCTATAAAATAGAAAAAATTGAGGACCAAAATAAATGACACAACAAAAGTAATGATTAAAATAGACGAGTGCAATTTAAGTTAAAAAGAACTTGTGGCACTAACGAAACTCAACTGTCAACGCCCACTTGTGTGACACTTACAGAGAGTTAATAGCCCAAAAAGATGCATTGCTTCCACCATGCCAACGGCAACATATATCGCTAGAGTCACAGCAAAGAGTCGTTCTAATTTTTGGTCTCTTATCAGCGAAAATTAAATGCGCTGAGAATGTCGAGCTCTGGACATCCGTGTGATGTTCTTCTTCTTTTGGTACGTAAAGCATTATTGAACAATTCCCACCATTCTTCTTAACAGAACCAACAGATTCAATAACTTCTTCATAAGCATAAAGATCAGTCCACAACCAAAATTTCACTTTTGAACCAACCAGGTTCTTACCATACTCTATAGTGAGCAATCGCTTTCTCTGTGCATGGAGCATGCTCTCTCTTGGCCCCCATTTCTTGGTGTTTCTTCTTGGTTGTTTTCACCTATAGTTGATTTTATTGGAGTCTTAGCGAAAGCCACCACGTCTTTCACATGTCATCTTTTGCAGAAGATTACAATGTATCAGTCTCTACTTTAGCTTTCATAACTACAAACTTTTGGCTGTGTTACCATCATTTTTGGAAGTATCTTTCTGAGCCACCGCTTTATCTTCATAGGTCTTTTCGGAAGGTTGCATTTTTATCAGCAGTTCATCTAAACACAAGCGCAATTATCAGCAGCAATTCTAGATAAGAGGTTGTAACCAACTAGTAAAGGACATTTTAAAAGCTGTATGAATATTGAATGCTTTCTATTACTCTAATAAGACTTGGCCATTTATAGTAAAGGATTCTAGATATCCCAGTCTCTTTTGATCAAATAGTAAATGATCTTTCTCCTCTTTCTCTAAATACTTCATTTCTGATCCTAGCAATTCTGACATCCTAAAAATCGCCTCAGACAACGGGTGAGACTTGTCCCCTGACGAAAATCCATGCATATATATGGAATCATCAACATTACCTACATCTGCCCAACTAAATCCGATTTCTTTCTTCACTTTCCTATCTCTCATCATTTTCCTCATTTTAGCTACATTCTCCCACTTCCCCTTCTCTGCAAACAAGTTAGACATCAATACATAAGAACCTGAACCATCAGGTTCCTTGGCAATCAGAGCATCGGCCACCCTCATGGCCATCTCCTCGTTTCTGTAAATCCTGCAAGCCCCAAGCAAGCTTTGCAGCACAGATATTCCTGGTCCTCCAGGAATCCGATTAACAAACTCTTCAGCAGCCTCCAGACTCCCTGTCCGGCCCAGCATATCTACCAAACAAGAATAATGCTCAGGATTTGGTTCAATAGAATGGTCATTAACCATTGAATTGAATATTTCAATTCCCATATCAACCATCCCCTTTCGACCACATGCTGTTAATATAGAGAGGAACGTGATTGAGTCAGGCTTCACACCGCTCTTCTCCATCTCCTTGTAACAATTCATGACTGATTCATAATCCCCATGCCTTGCATGGGCAGAGATTATAGCTGTCCAAGCAACTTGACTTTTCTCAGCTAAGCCATTAAATATCTTTTCAGATTCATATATGTTCCCACGCTTTGCATACATGTCAAGAAGAGCACCTGAAACAATTGGATCAGTGTTCAATCCAAGCTTCGTTATATAACCATGAAATCGTTGGCCCTGCCTCAGAGAAATTGATTCAGATGAAGCAACTGCATTTAAGACACTGCCAAATGTATAATGGTTTGGTCGTAATTCTGTTGAGGCAGACAAAAAATTCTGTACAGCTTCTTGATACATCCCATTCATAGAGTAACCAGATATCAAAGCATTCCATGATATAATCTCTACGTTGTCGAGCTCCTCAAAAATCTTAATAGAGTCTTCCATGAGCTCAAACTTACCATACATGGTAATGAAACTATTAGCTACGTTCAATTCTGAAATAAAGTTTGTCTTTATACAAAAACAATGTACCATTAGGCCTTCTTGAATCATATTGTTTATTGTTACGGCATGGATTAATCCCACAAATGTAACATCATTTGGATATACTCCATCTCTTCTCATTCCCATAAATAAAATGACAGCATCCTCTTCAGTTATGGAGAGCATTGTCGTCCAAGACACTACATTACGATCAATCATGTTCTCAAAAACCAACTTTGAATCATCCACAACATCACATTTGGAATACATTGATATCAAAACATTACAAACCGAAACATTAGTATCATATCCTCTCTTAATCAACATCGTATGTATCTGCCTGCCAAAAACCAAGTTCCTTTCATGGCCACAAGCTGAAACCGCACCAGTAAACGATACATGATCCAGCTTCATACCTTCTCTCACCATTTCTACAAATGTCAAAATGGCTTCCAGTCCATAAGTACCCTCCTGAGCATATCCCGAGAGAATTGCATTCCAAGAAACCAGATCTCTATCAGACATTTCACAGAAAAGTCTTTCAGCTTCCACTATTTTTCCCCATTTTGAATACATAGTTACCAGTGCATTCCCAATGAAAATCTCACTTTCCAAACCAAACTTCAAACCAAGACAATGAAACTGAATGCCAAAATCAAACTCCTGACAATGTGCACAATGCGCAAGAACACAAGTGTAGCTCACGGCATCAAAAACAACACCAGCTGAACGCATTCCACGAGCAAACATTAATGCTTCTTCACCATTTTCGTAGCCCGACAACAACGTGTTATAAGAAACAGTATCAGGGTTCTTCAAATTCTTAAAGATAGAGAATGCATTGTCCAGATTTTTTGATTTACAATACATGTTCATCAATGAATTAGACACAGTAACATAAAATATATGTCCAGAAGTTATCGCAAAACCATGAATTTGACACCCACGTTTTTGGTCCCTACGACAAGCCTTGAGAGCAATGGCAATTGCCACTTCATCAATTTGTAAAATACCCAATTGAAGCTGCTTCTTGAAAGTGTTAAGAGCTTCAAATTCACGACCTTGGCGAATAAAATAGAGCATGCAACGATGAAAAGGGACAAGATTTTGCTTAGGATTTTCATCGAGCACGTGTCGTCCATTATAAAATGAGCAAAATTTTCTCATTCCTCGAAGCTTTAGTACGGGAATTTTGCTGAAGGTTTTGAGTTTCAGTTGGCGAGCAATCATTAGATCTGAAATGAACTTGTTGCCGATAATGCATGAGCAATTTAAGCTCATTCTTTGCAATCCCTAAGCCCACCTTCTTGCCAGCCGAAAAATGCATCAACTTCTTTTAATCAAAATATCTGATAATCCAGATATTCCAACTCCATCACCGCCGAATTGGAAAAATTAACAGAACTGACAACCCATCAGCCTTTAAATTGAAAAGAAACGAATTAAACCGCCATATATTTATTTGCCGATAGGCTTCTTATTGGTATTCAGCGATACGATGGATTGTGCTAAGTGAAGAGAAGAGTAAGATAAACACTGGTAACAAGATTTGGTTTTGGAAGAGAAAAAGAGGAGGCGGAGGGGCAGGTACGGCGGTTGGCGGGAAATCTAGGGTAGCATAGTTGTTCGTCAAAAGTAGGGGAAGCAATGGCCCGGGCCTACGGCGAGCTCTTGACCCCACCATTTAGGGAAGGAAAAAATTTCAAAATAATTGCGGTCACGGTCTCAAACCTTTTAGTTTTTAGCAATGCTAGTCTAAAACTTCTTCGCTAGAAGTACTTTTGGACGGTTTATGTCCAAAATTCTATTGTTTGACCATCATTTTATACAAATTGTTGTCGCCTTGTTTCCTTCTCCTCCGTCTACTCCATTTTTCCATTTTCATCCCTTCATTTCCACCTAACAAGGACCTTTAAAAAATTGGAAAGAAATAAATAAAGATAAATAATTTCTCTTCAAAATAAAAAATAGCGTTTATCATGGACACGATAACTGATACACTAGGAGTGCTGGAAAAGTATTTGAAAAATAAGGTATCCATTGACGACGATGGTAGAGAGTCCCATACCAATAGACGGGGTTGGATGGGTGAGGGGTTAGGCTTTGAAGTTCGATGGTTTTGTGGATCGGGAAAACAAATATTTTTATAAATTGTAATTTTTTTTTATGGAAGTTTCCAGGTCCTTCAACACACGTTTATTAAAGGTTTGAGATTATCGGTGCAAATTAATATTTTAAAATTCATAATAGGTTAAAAAATCATTTTACCATTTTAAAATTAGTGAAATTATTATTAAACATTGACTATTAGTGAATTGAGGTCATGTTTGACTGCACTTCAATTCCATGGAAGATAGAAATTAAATTCCGTTTTTCACTTTTTTGTATGTTTAAATGCCCAAATTTTCCATGGAATTGGTTTTCTATCTTTCACCCATATGCTCACATTTTCTTGATTTTTGAGTGGGAAAAGTTTTTTTAGGCAATTTTTTTTTAATTTTTTTTACAATGAAAATAAATTATATCCCAAATTATAACAAATTATATTTATTTAATGGACAATTTTCATAGAAAATAAAACTAAACGAATACCAAAAGATCCAAAATTTCAATATTTTTCAGGTAGAAAATTATACTAATCAAACACAATTAGTTGACCATTCATAGTAAAATAAGTTATAAGCAATTCAATTTTTTGAAATTCATTTTTTTTTCACTCAAATTTCATTCCTACAATCAAACTGACCCTAAAAGTTTTTTATAATTTCAATAAGAAAAGTAATTTATAATTTAGGACAGACAAAAACGAAACCAAACACATATGTCTATGGGACGGTGGAGTAAATAAGTGTGTGGTCTAATGAATTAGTAATGAATCAAGGGGCAAGTTCTGCCACGTGTCAAACTTGAAGCCTTATCTTTCCAAGATGAGCATTTATTGGATGAGATTATCTATGAAAAATTCTGCAAGTGGAAATAAGAAAAGAGAAAAACGAAGATAATATACTTGTGGAGAGCGCGTGCCCAAAACACAAGCATTTCTCTTGCACGATATAACTGTTCTAATTCAGCCAATATAGGAGATTGTAATACCCCACAAAACAGAGCAGAGGGCTACCAAGATGGCTTCTTTGAACTTATTCTTTACTCCGATAGCCGCCACCCAAAGAAGAGTAAGAACTGCAGCCACGGCGGCGAAGTCCTCCGGCGGTGGCAGTGAGGAGAAGGGACCGCTAGATTGGATCATTGGGGCATTACAGAAACAAGACCAGTTCTATGAGACTGATCCAATCTTGAAGAAGGAGGAAGGGAAGAATGGTGGCTCCACCAGAAACTCGGTCGCAGTTCCGCCAAAGAAGAAACATGGCGGTGATGGTGTTTACTTCATCAATTTGTAAAATACCCATTTGAAGCTGCTTCTTGAAAGTGTTAAGAGCTTCAAATTCACGACCTTGGCGAATAAAATAAAGCATGCAACGATGAAAAGGGACAAGATTTTGCTTAGGATTTTCATCGAGCATGTGTCGTCCATGATAAAATGAGCAAAATTTTCTCATTCCTTCAAGCTTTAGTACGGGAATTTTGCTGAAGGTTTTGAGTTTCAGTTGGCGAGGAATCATTAGATCTGAAATGAATTTGTTGCCGATAATGCATGAGCAATTTAAGCTCATTCTTTGCAATCCCTAAGCCCGCCTTCTTGCCAGCCGAAAAATGCATCAACTTCTTTTAATCAAAATATCTGATAATCCATATATTCCAACTCCATCACCGCCGAATTGGAAAAATTAACAGACCTGACAACCCATCAGCCTTTAAATTGAAAAGTAAGAAACCAATTAAACCGCCATATATTTATTTGCCGATAGGCTTCTTATTGGTATTCAGCGATACGATGGATTGTGCTAAGTGAAGAGAAGAGTAAGATAAACACTGGTAATAAGATTTGGTTTTGGAAGAGAAAAAGAGGAGGCCGAGGGGCAGGTACGGCGGTTGGCGGGAAATCTAGGGTAGCATAGTTGTTCGTCAAAAGTACGAGAAGCAATGGCCCGGGCCTACGGCGAGCTCTTGACCCCACCATTTAGGGATGGAAAAAATTTCAAAATAATTACAGTCACGGTCTCAAACATTTTAGTTTGTAGCAACGCTAGTCTGAAACCTTTCAAACTTCTTCGACAGAAGTACTTTTGGAGTTAATGTGATATTAAATGATAAGTGAAATTAAATAAGTCATTTAATTTCACATATCATTTAACCAATCATTTACATCCATATAAACTGGGAATGCATCCACAGTGGGGATGGATAGCATTTTTCACGTCCAAAATTCTATTGTTTGATCATCATTTTATACAAATTGTTGTCGCCTTGTTTCCTTCAGCTCCCGTCTACTCCATTTTTCCATTTTCATCCCTTCATTTCCACCTAACAAGAACCTTTAAAAAATTGGAAAGAAATAAATAAAGATAAATAATTTCTCGTCAAAATAAAAAATAGCGTTTATCGTGGGCATGATAACTGATACACCAGGAGTGCTGGAGAAGTATTTGAAAAATAAGGTGTCCATTGATGACGATGGTAGAGAGTCCCATACCAATAGATGGGGTTGGATGGGCGAGGGGTTAGGCTTTGGAGTTTAATGGTTTTGCGGATCGGGAAAAGAATATTTTTATAAACTGTAAATTTTTTTTATGGAAGTTGCCAGGTCCTTCAACACACGTTTATTAAAGGTTTGAGATTATCGATGCAAATTAATATTTTAAAATTAATAATAGGTTAAAAAAATCATTTTACCATTTTAAAATTAGTGAAATTATTATTAAACATTGACTTTTAGTGAACTGAGGTCATGTTTGATTGCACTTCAATTCCATGGAAGATAGAAATTAAATTTCATTTTTCACATTTTTGCTTGTTTAAATGCCCAAAATTTCCATGGAATTGGTTTTCCATCTTTCACTCATATGCTCACATTTTCTTAATTTTTGAGTGGGAAAAGCTATTTTAGGCAATTTTTTTTACAATGAAAACAAATTATATTTTTTTAATGGATAATTTTCATAAAAACAAAACCAAACGGACAACAAAAGATCCAAAATTTCAATATTTTTCAGGTGAAAAATTATACAAATCAAACACAATTAATTGACAATTTTCAGTAAAACAAGTTCTAGGTAATTCAATTCTCTGTAATTCATTTTCTTTCCACTCAAATTTCATTCTGACAATCAAACGGACCCTAATAGATTTTGGGACAAAAATGATCAAGTCTGCTCAAGTTTGATAGGTTTGGGACCAGTGCTATAACAAATCAAATGTTTAGGTAAAACCCTGCAAAAAATTGAAAAATTTATGTCCGTGCTAATATTATTCCAAAATTTTCAATTGCTAACCCACCACACAATCATGGTCTCTATTCTCTTCCCAATTTTCTAATTATTTTATTACATTTATCTTATTTCAATTTAGATCATATCTGAAAAAATATATAATAACATTAAGAGCCTGTTTGAATCTCATTTTTTATTTAAATGTATTTTGAAATAGTATTTTGATAGAGAATGCGTGGTTAAAAAATAAGAAAAAAAATTTGAGTTTGTGTGTAATATTATTTTATTGAAGAATGTGAGGTTAAAAATAAGATAAATGTATTTTGAAAATAATGACGACCCTTAGGCCCTGTCTGGGCACCATTTTTGGAAGGCAGAAATTCATTTTTGGACCGTTCTAGCCTGATATTTTTGACCCACTCTTTCACGTGTGGGACCTACTGACCTTGGGGCAACGGATATATTTTTGCTGTTAAGTCAAAAGGAAGCTGCACCAGACAGGTGCTAAATATAAATAGAGGAAATGATTAATGTAGAAGGCACGCAAAAATTGGTAGTCTATTGGGAGAGAATTGGCCTCTCAAATGTCAAATATCTTTATTTCATTTTCTTGTTAATGCATTACAGAGATACTCGTTTACAAAGTGTTGTTATTATCCATAGCAAAGTTTCTTTCCTAACTTGTAGTACAATTACAGAAAATAGCAAATACAATTACAGTTTGATCTGTCTTTTCTTCTTTTTTTGTTTGTTTAAATTCTACTCTTATTCTGCTAAGTAAATTGCACTTGAACAAGAACCTAACATTGGTATCAGAGCACAACGATCGTGATGATAAATCTATCGGATCGTGTGAGAGATTTGGAAGGGTTACAGGAAATTGCAAGAACAAATGGAAGGAATGCAAACTGTGTTAGGCAGGACGAGGTGGAGATGCAAAGGTTACATTACATTGAAAAAAATCTAGAGCAATTTACCTTCATGAGATCGAAGTGGGTAGAAGTAGAGAGATAGAATGTAAGGGACAAGAAGGAGTGAAGGACTCAAAGTATACTCTGCAGTCTAAAAATCCCCCGAGTCTAGAGACAAGCAGTTGAGCTTTAAGTGGTAGTTCAGGGAAAAATTGGAGGCCAGAACTCAAAGGTAGGTACTAGAGATGCCTATATTTTCAGGAAAAAATTCAGACGACTGGATCTTAGGGCCGAACATTATTTTCTTGTAAATCAATTGACAGAGGTGGAAAAGTTGGAGACAGCAGCACTGTATTTCGAAGGTGGCACGCCCGCTTGGTATCAATGTGATGTGAACCCATGTAGCGAATAATTACGAAACTCACGATTAGATTGAAATCAAACCCAAGAAAGCCAAAACGTTTTGGATTTGATTCGAAAATAACGAATCAAAATAACCAATAATACACAAATGATATGTTGACCTTTTTGATTGAATATTTTAGAATCTCACCCGGTTGATTTGAATGCCACAAGAAGAATCTCGATAAGTTCGTGAATTTTCCAACGAAAAACAAGAATTCGAAAGCAAATTTGCTAATCTTAATAATAATGTTGTGTTTTACAATGAAAAGATTGAGTCATATTTCTAGGCAACCCATAAAACCTAGTTAAAAACGGAATTAAGCCAAAAAAATAGCAAACGATATTACAAAATAGAGTTTTAACTTAAACAGAAGATTACGCAAAATTTGAAAAAATTCCCGACCAAAATGAACTATGCGGCCGCGCAGTGTAACTCTATGTGGTCACATAAATCAAAAGAAAAGTCCCCCTTTGGTCTCGATATAAAGGCATGAGGTCACGTGCCTATCTCAACTATGCGGTCGCATAGTTGAGGTCATCAGCCCCTTCTTCCGTTGCTTGCAATACTATGCTCTAATTGGTTTCAGCTATCGAGCCCATCATGAAAGTTGTTCATTGGCTTGTTAACTTCGAGATTTCGTTCATCGTAACTTGAGCAAACAATCACATCACCTCTTCCATCCACTTTGCTCTCGATCGTATCATCGAACCTCCTTTGATAAATAACGAATCATTTCCTGGCCTTGACTTTGACACGCACGATTCCTTGCTCACATCATCCCCTCCCTCTTCAAGAGGATTCATCCTCGAATCTGTACCTACATCAAAAAGAGAGATAGAGAGATCAGATATATTAAAAGTAACTGAAACATTATACTCACCAGAATGATCCATCTTGTATGCATTTTCATTGATTTTCTCGAGAACCTAAAATGGTCCATCTCCCCATGGCTGCAGCTTTGATTTTCTTTGCTTTGGAAAGTGCTCATTTCTCAAGTGTACCCAAACCTAATCACCAGGTTCAAATAAAACACTCTTCCGGTCATTGTTAACTTGTGACGCATAATGCTTATTTTTGTTTTCAATTTGCAATCTCACCTTCTCATGGAGTGACTTCACCATCTCGGCCTTGTTTTTCCCATTTAAACTACCAAGTTCATTCACAAGTAAATGAATTAAATCCAATGGTGTCAGTAGATTAAAACCATAAATAATATCAAACGGTGAACATAAAGTAGTAGAAGTTATAAGCCTATTGTATGCAAACTCAACGAAAGGTAAGCATTCTTCCCAACTTTTCAAATTTTTACTAACCATAGTGCCAAACAATTGAATCATAGTCCTAATGACTACTTCTATTTGCCTATCGATTTGTGGGTGACATGTAGTAGAAAACAACAATTTTGTGCCTAACTTACCCCACGAAATCCGCCAAAAGTTACTAAGAAATTTAACATCTCTATCCGACACTATACTCTTAGAAACCCCGTGTAAACACATTATTTCTTTAAAGAACAAATCAGCTATATTAGTGGCATCGTCGATTTTTTGACATGGAATGAAATGCACCATCTTAGAAAACCTATTGACCACTACAAATATTGAATACCGACCCCTTTTAGTCCTAGGTAAACATAAAACAAAATTCATGGAGATATCAACCCATGGTTCACTAGGAATGAGTAAAGGAGTATACAATCATTGGGGTGGAACTTTAGACTTAGCATGTTTACAAGTTATGCATCGATCATAAGTTCGTTCTACATCAATCTTCATTTTAGGCCAATAAAAATGTTTCCTTGACATTTCTAAAGTCTTTGCAACCCCTAAGTGACCCATTAGTCCCCCACTATGTGCTTCTCTAACCAACAATTCACGCATAGAACAATTAGGAGCACATAGTTTATTTTCCAGAAACAAATAATGCCCATGCTCAAAGAATTTGTCTATCGCACCCTTATTACATGATTCATATATGCTGGAAAAATTTAAATCATTCACATACATGTTCTTAATGTACTCAAAACCAAGCAATTTCGCAATTAAAGAAGTAAGAAGCACATATCTTTGGGACAACGTATCTGTCACCACATTTTTTTTACCTTGTTTGTACCGGATGACATAGGAAAATGTTTCAATATATTCCATCCATCTAGTATGTCTTTTATTTAGCTTACCTTGACCCCGTAAATGCTTCAATGACCAATGATCAGTGTGAATCATGAACTCCTTCGGCCATATGTAATGTTGCCATGTCTCTAAAACTCGAACAGGTGAGTAAAACTCTTTGTCATATGTAGGATAGTTGAGCGCTGCTCCACTTAGTTTTTCACTGAAATAAGCTATTGACCTCTTATCCTGCATGAAAACTGGTTAAATTTCTATACCTGATGCATCACATCGAATCTTGAAAGTTTTATCAAAATTAGGTAGTGCTAAAACCGGTGCTTCACACAACCTATCCTTAATAGTGTTGAATGAATCCTCTTGTTCATCACCCCATTTAAAACCTACACTCTTTAGTATGGCAAGGTGCTAAAATCTCTTACAAATCGCCTATAAAAACTAGTCAAATCATGAAAATGTGTACTTTTTAAAGTTAGCAAAAAGTTGTTCTTTTCTTAAACTACTAGCACACAACTCAAATGCTCAATATGTTCATTGAGGTCCTTACTGTAGATTAAAATGTTATCAAAGTAAATCACAACAAACTTGCCTATAAATACACGCAAAATATGGTTCATTAAACGTATACAAGTGCTCGGTGCATTAGTGAGTCCAAACGGCATGACCAACCATTCATACAAGCCATATTTAGTTTTAAATGCGATTTTCCATTCAGCACCTTCCTTCATTCAAATTTAATGGTAACCACTCTTAAGATCAATTTTGCTAACTATGCATGAACCAAATAATTCATCCAACATATCATCTAACCTAGGAATAGGATGACGATTCTTTACCATTATGTTATTAATGACCCTGTAATCCACGCACATTCTCCAAGTTTTATCTTTCTTTAGCACAAGTAGGACTGACACAGCACATGGACTCGTGCTCTCCCTCACATACCTTTGCTCATCAATTCCTCCACTTGCCTTTGAAGTTCCTTTGTCTCATCAGGATTACTTCGGTAAGCTAGTCGGTTTGGAATGATAAGTCAATTTGATGTTCAATGCCTCGCATGGGTGGCAACCTACTAGGTACATCTTTCGGGAATACGTCTCCAAATTCCTGCGATAAAGAAATAGCCAAGCTAGGGAATGGTGGGTTAGATTCCTCAAAATTGAGGAGTAATTCTTTGTATACCAATAAAATCATTTGTTTGTCTCTCCACTATTTCTATTTTCAACTCACTCCATTTCGCAAAAATATTTGCTTTCAACATTTCTCTCCTCTTGGAGGACCCCTCTTATTTTCTCTCATGTGGCTCTTCTCTTTTTTTTCTCTCTTTTAGCCACATCACTATTTTCTCTCGTACTTGCCAACTCATTGTTTTCTCTCTTTTTCTCTAACCATTTCCGTCTTTTTTCTTCCTCATTTTTCAGTTTGATTTGGTCTTCATACACTTGTACTGGTGTTAATGGTGCAAGTGTAATAGACTTTCCACTCTTGACAAAGATGTACCTATTTTTATACCCATTATGTATCACCTTCCTATCGTATTGTCATGGTCTCCCAAATAAGATATGACCCGCATACATAAGTACTATGTCACATAATACTTCGTCATGATAACTACCAATTGAAAAAATTATCAACACATTTCTATTCACCTTAACTTCCCCACATTCATTCAACCACTGTAACCTATAGAGCCTAGGGTGTTTAAGCATACTTAATCCCATTTTTTTCCACTAGATTAATGCTAGCTACATTTGTACAACTACCATCGTCAATAATCATGCTACATACCTTATCATTGATGTGGCATTGTGTATGGAAAATATTTTCTCTTTGTTGTTCCAAGTCATCTGCCTCGCCTTGTGACTAATAGCTCGCCAACAGCATATTCCACTCTGCCTCCATCACTAGCCTCCTCCAATTTCGGCATGCCTTCATAATCAATCTCACTTTCACTTACCACCACTCCATTATCCCGCAAAATCATCTCTCTTTTGTTTGGACATTGGGAAGTGATGTGCCCCGACCCCAAACACCTAAAGCATTTGATGTCTCGACTTCTTGATGGCTGGGATTCCATTTTCTTGCTAGCATTTTCTTCCCTTTCTTTTAGCAATTCAGTTTTACCCCTATAAACAGCCTCATCTCTTTTGTTGTTGTCCTACTTCAATTTCAAGGATGAGTTAGAACCCAAAGCACCCGATGAGTACCTTGATGTCCCCTTCCTCTTCAATTGTCTCTTCAACTTCATAGCCATGTGTATCATATCTTCTAATTCCACATAGTGTTGCAGCTCCACTACATTAGCTATGTCCCGATTCAACCCGTTCTAAAACTTGGCCATGGTGGCCTCCCGATCCTCTTCCACATCCGCCATAATCATCAACAACATTATCTCATTGTGATAGTCCTCCACACTCTTCGATCCTTGGTAGAGACTTTGTACTTTTTGATGAAGCTCTTAGTAGTAGTGATTAGGTACAAACCTATTCCACATGATAGCTTTCAATTATCCCATGTATTGATCGGTTGTTCCCTATTTCTCCTCCTCGTTGTCAACACTTGATCCTACCAAGTGATTGCATCGTCAGTGAATTCAAGGATCGCTATCTTCACCTTCTTCTCCTTCGAATAGTTGTGGCAGTCAAAGATCGAATCAACTTTTTTCTCCCACTCTAAGTACGTCTCCGGATCACTCATTCCTTTGAACGGTGGAATGAAAAATTTTATGTTGCCCACCGTAGCTTGCTAACTTCAACATTTCATCCACCGTAGCTTGAGCAAACAATCACATCACCTCTTTCACCTGTTTTGCTCTCGACCGTGTCAACGAACCTCCTTCAATAATCAATGGATCATTTCCCGACCTCAACTTCGTGCTCACATCACAATGGAAACAAAAGAGAAAGGGCATAAAAATTTGAGAAGATCTCAAAGTGTTGATGCAAATTCGATTTTGATCCTCTTTGGAAGGCACCATGGAGAAGTGTTTCCTAGCTTTCCAGCAAGATGGGTCAGTAATAGAGCATTGGTTCTCCTTTAAGACATTAGTAGCTTCGATTGGAGAGATTTCAGATGCCATATTGGAGGGCTATTTCATAAATGGACTGAATACTGAAATTAAAGCTGAAGTTCAAGTGCTAAATCATAACAGATCATGGAGCTAGCCTAACGAATTGAGGAAAAAAAAATCAGGCGTTGCAGGCCAGTTTTGGTGGATCTGGCCCAATAAGAAATAAATTGAGTCCTAACCCAAATTGACAAAATCCTCCACCTCAACAGACGTCTTCACATCCCCAAGTCACAACCCACGACTTGTGATGTCAACAGGACCTAGAAACCTTGCTCCTACCGTCGTAGTGACTTCCATTTTTAAAAAGCTCAATGAAGCTGAATTAAAAAATAAGGGAGAGAGGGAACTTTGCTTCCACTATAATGAGAAATATTTTATTAGGCATAAGTGTAAGAAAAAGGTTTTGCAGGTGATGTTGGTTCATGATGAAGAGCTAGATGAGGGGTTGGGAATTGAAGAGTTAAGTTAGGAATCGATTAAAGGATAGCAAACCATTATAGGTGATGTGGTAGAGTTATCCATGAACTCAGTGGTAGGGCTCATTCCGCCTCAAACCAGGAAAGTAAAAGGGATAATTTTAGGTCAAAAGGTGGTAGTACTAATTGGTTGCGGGGCTAGTCACAATTTTATTTCAGCTGAATTAGTATAGAAGTTGGGCTTACTAAGAACAGATACAACTCGATATAAGATGATTATAGATACGAGAATGGTGGTGTAGGGTGTGGAGGTGTGCAAGGGAGTGCTATTATCCCTCCAAAACATTGATATGGTCAAAGATTTTCTTCTCTTGGACTTGGGGAGATCCGATGTGATTTTGGGGATGAAGTGGCTAGCATCTGTGTGCCCGACCAAAGGTGACTCGAAAGCACTCACGATGAAATTCCAGGTTGGGGGTACTACCATGACTTTGTAAAGGGATCCAAGCTTGTGTAAAACTTTGGTCACCTTGAAGGCTATGATGAAAACCTTCAGGGAAGGAGGAGAGGGTGTGCTTCTTAAACTAGGCAATATGGGGGTCGAGTTTGGAAAGGTACAAAAGGAATCACCAACACTGATTATAGGGTTGTTGAGTGAATCTGGGGAGTTTTTGAAGAGCCTATGGGGTTAACCCCGTAACGAGACAAGGATCATAACATCCATTTGCAATCCAGAACAGACCTTATTAGTATCAGGCCATATTACTACCCACATGCTTAGAAAAATGATATAGAAAAATTGGTTAAAGAAATATTAGCCGCATGAATTACAGGCCAAGCACCAGTTCCTTCTCTAGTTCAGTTTTATTAGTAAAGAAAAAAGATAGAGGGTAGCATTTTTGTGTAGACTATAGAACCATAAACAGAGTGACGGTACCGGATTAGTTTCTCATTCCAATGATTGACGAATTCCTAGATGAATTACATAGGGTTTCTGTAAACTTGATTTAAAGGCTAGCTATCATCAAATTTGGGTCAAACCTGAGGATATTCCAAAGAAGGTGTTTAGGACACATGAAGGGCATAAAGAGTTTTTGGTAATGTCATTCAGGTTGACAAACGTGCCCACCAAGTTTCAATCAATCATGAATTAAATGTTTAAAGAACATTTGAGGCGGTTTGTTCTAGTGTTTTTTGAAGACATTTTGGCATTCAATCGGAGTTTGGAGGATCATATAGAGCACTTGAGGAGGGTCTTGCAAGTGCTAAGACAACATTAAATGTATGCCAATCGCAAGAAATGTAGCTTTGGATAGCCAGAAGTAGAATACTTGGGACACTTCATTTCATGCCAGGGTGTAGCCGCAGATAAGTCAAAGATTCAAGCCATGGTAGACTGGCCAAGTCCTAATTCTTTATGGGAGTTGAGGGGATTTTTAGCACTCACAGGATACTACCACCGCTTCGTGAAGAATTACTATAAATTAGCATGTTTATTAATAGAACGATTATGCAAGGAAAATTTTTGGGAGGATGAGGAAGTAGAGCAAGCATTCAAAAAACTGAAAACAGCCATGACATCGAGTCCTTGACCTTTCGGACTTCAGCGACCCCTTTATAGTGGAGACAGATGCTTCGGGCTTTGGCTTGGGAGCTGTGTTGATGCAATGCCAGCGTCCTATTGAATACTTTAGCTGTGCACTCAATTCGAAAGGGAAAGCAAAATCAACTTATGAAAGGGAATTGATGGCAATCGTGTTTGCGATGCAAAAATGGAGACACTACTTTCTTGGCCACAAATTCTATGTGCAGAAGTTTAAGTTTCTTAATGGAATAATGGGACGTGAACTCGAAATATCAGAAATGGTTACTTAAGTTATTGGGTTATCAATTCGAGTTTCAATATCGTCCAGGAAGTAAAAACAAGGCCCAGCTCTTCCATCGAGTTAATGGCAACATATGTTATTGCAGTAGTACAATTAGATACTCTAGCTGAAGAGGTTCGAGTAGACTTACACTTGCAAACTATTATTCGGGAACTCACGGAAGATCCTTCTAGCAGACCAAATTTTGCTTTGGTAAATGACCGGTTATTGTTTAAGGGGCGTTTGTTTTCGCCAAGGGGCGACGTTGATTTCATTGATGTTGCAAGAGGGACACAACAGTGAGATTGGGAGGACACTCCGGCTTTTTGAAAACATATTGACTTATTGCTACCAATGTCTATTGGGAAAGAATGAAGGCTGATATTCAAAGTTATGTGAGCTAGTGTACAGTTTGTCAACAAAACAAGTATATTGCACTATTGTCGAGGGGCATATTACAGCCACTTCCTATTCCGAATCAAGTTTGAAAGACATAGCAATGGATTTCGTCGAAGGTCTATTGAAATCAGGAACCATGGATACAATTTTGGTAGTAGTGGATCGATTAACCAAATATGGGCACTATATAGGACTTACGAACACTTTCACGATGGCAAGCATAGCTAGAGTTTTCGTGAAAGAAGTGGTATAACTACATGGGGTACCCCACTCCATAGTATGGGATAGAGACAAGGTATTCATAAGCCATTTTTAGGATGAATTATTTCGTTTACAAGGTACGAAGCTCAATCATTGTACGGCTTACCATCCCCAATCCGATGGACAGTTGGAGGTATTAAATCGCACCGTAGAAACATATCTGATTTGCTTTGATTCTTCGCGACCTAAGTCTTAGTTTACTTAGTTGCCATGGGCCGAATTATGGTATAACACTTCATTTCACACAGCAAGCAATACGACTCCTTTCTAGGTGGTATACGGGCGTGAACCATCTGCTCTTTCGAAGTTTGAAAAAGGGTCCACCGTAGTTTCGGCAATAAAGCAAAAACTCTTCGAATATGATAAGATTATGTCCCTGTTTGAGCCACATTAAAATTTTCATTCTCATTCTTCTATTCATTTTCAATTACACATTCTTCAATAAAATAATATTTTTCATCACATCAATAATTTTTCCTTCTTATTCAATCACACATTCTCCATCAACCTACTATTTCAAAATACATTCTTCCAAAATAATGTGGCTCAAACACACCCTATAGAGAAATTGAAAGCACTGTTACTGCGAGCCCAAGCAAAGATGAAGAGCATATTTGATTCCAAAAGGAGAAATGTTCATTTCCCAGTTGGTGATCTCGTTTGTTTGAAGGTTAGACCGTATCTTCTCAAATCCTTAGCTGCGCAGCCTAACGAGAAGTTAACACCATGGTTTTATGGTCCATTTGCAGTTGGACAGGGGATTGGTTAGGTTGCATATAAGCTAATTATTCCTCCGACATGTAACATTCGTCCCGTATTTCATGTATCCCAGCTACGCAAGGCATATGGAATAGTGTAGGCCGTGAAAAAAAGTACCTAGCCAATTGAGTGAGGAGTCAGAGATGTTGGCTAAACCAGAGGCACTACTTGAGGTACAACCTGACGGGTAGCAATATTCGGGGTTGGATGTTTTAATATAATGGAAGGGGCTTCCACCGCTTGAAGCCACTTGGGATTCTTATGACATGATTAAGCAACAATTTCCTTCATTTCACCTTAAGAACAAGGTGAGTCTCATGGGAGGAAATAATGATAGACCCGCAATCCACTTGACATACCAAAGGCGTAAAAAAATGAACAAATGCAGTACAGGAAATCGGTGGATGGGCAATCACATGCACAATTACAAATCATTTAAGAAGGAAAACCAAATATAAATAGGGGAAATGATTACTGTGAAAGGCACGCAGAAATTGGTAGTCTGTTGGGAGAGAATTGGCCTCTCGAATGCCAAATACCTTTATTTCATTTTCTTGTTAATGCATTACAGAAATTCTCCTTTACAAAGTGTTGTTATTATCCATAGCCGAGTTTCTTTCCTACCATGTAGTACAATTACAAAAAGCAGCTAATACAATTCCATTTTTATCCTTTTCACTCTTATTTTGCTGAGGGAATTGCACTTGCACAGGAACCTAACACTATACCGTATAGGATCAAGGGTGTACATGAGATGGCATTGGGGGTCCCATGATCCTCAACTTTTGGGCAAAATCCTTTTTTTTTTTTTACCACAATTAATTTTCTATATTTTTTTCCCAATTTTTGAAGCCATTACGGGATTTCAAACGAAGTCAAAATAGTGCATTCTTAATAATATTTCGAAGTGTTCACGATCTAGTTTTCTAAGTCGTAAATGGCGTATGAAATGGTTGACCATAGCATATGTTACGAGGTTGTCAAAATTGACCGTTCCAAACTAGTATTACGGGAATTTTGATAACATGCTTACTTTAAAAATTCTCCAATGATAGTACGCTAATCGAATCCACAAATCGCCCACGTCATCTCGAAACTCGTTTTGAGAATTATATTATAGGCATATCGGACGGTCCAAATAGACATCGAAAATAATTAAAGGCGCATCTTAAAAAGAGAAGTCTAACTCGTCTTTTCTTTAAAAAAAAAATTCACTTATTTCATTAACATTTATTATTTTTGCACGAAAAATTTCTCAATATAATTTACATTATTTTATTAGAAAATTTTACAAGGAGTATGACACCAAAAAATTTCGGAATTTTACATCCAAAAAAGTCATACCCCCATGTAAATCTTGTAATGCAAAATTCGAATGTAAATTTACATGGGGTGTGATTTTTCGGACATAAATTTTCAAATGTAAACTTTTTTGCAATTTTTTTGCAAGTTTGATTGTGCCCCCAACTCAAAATGCCTGCGAGTCTGCCACTACGTAGGAGTATATCCAAGTAACAATGAATTGCTAAAAAACTTGTACGATATAAGTAAAATAAAACGTGCTTAAAAAAAGTCATCTTCATTATAATTTACTTTTATAACAAATTATGAATAATGCAAATAAGCTAGTTATGCTCAATGCGAAATACATAATTGATGATATAATATGTTCTCCAGGATCAATGGATAAAGTTGGACGATTCAGTTCACAGGATCGTATAGTTCTCAAAAATGCAAAGGATGAAGAAATAATTAAGCAAACCAACAATGTCATTTTACACCTACTTGAATTATAGATATTCCATGGAAATGGACTATTGGACTTTAATATTAAGGTTTTGCTTTCTTAATTGATATTTGAGCTTGTCAACTTCTTTACTTGAGCTTATAATTCAACAATTAGCATCGATCTTCTGTACTACGTGGATCGTTGTCGTATTATGAAACATGGCGACATTAAATAATATGTCTAATTAATTGTAGGACAGAGAATTCGTGTTATTTGACCTATCATTCAATGTCATCTAAACATGACGATCCATTATCATATCGACAAATAATATTACACTGAGGATGTAGGTGGAGGGCGCGATGAAGGACTGCTCGAGTCCCAACGTGCATGGGGAGAAGGGTTGGCTAGACACAGTAGGCACATCTGTGTGAGAGAGAAGAAAATGAAGGATGGTGAAGAAGGTAGAACTTAGAAGCCTATGAAAGAAGAATCGTATGTGCCGGAACCTACACAACACAGGAAATGAAGTGTTCCGATTGAGGGTAGAGGTGTAAACTAGAGGAGTAAACTCGGCCGCATTCATCAATGTTTCTTCAGCCCAGACCACCGTTACTTTCAGAGTGATACGACCCACATTTAATGTGTGACAAAACATTTTTATAGGTCAACCAGATTTTTCAACAGTAGATGCATATATGAAGCATCCACATCTTTATACCAAATAAACAAAACTTCGAAGACAGAAAACATCAAATCAAGAAAGATTTAATGACAATGAGCCTCGAGTCATTCTCAAGTCTCAACTCACATACATATTTGGGCAATATGTCTATTATCTCATCTTCAATATCCTCTTTCACTGCCCATCTCATCCTATCAAATAAGCATCACATTGAAGAGCAAGTGTGATATCAATTTTTAGCCTCATTTCTAGTACATATCACCCTCTGAAAAGATTTACTTTGATGTGTAAGGATTGAGCTCATTTTCAATCACAATCATAAAAAACTATAATCAAAGGTGCTAGACAATAAATCTAACTGAGAGTTCGATTAAGAGGTTGCCTCTAAAGAAGCTAGCTAAAGCCTGACTTGAGTTAAAACATTAGACAGCATTAATGTTCCTCATATCTAAGCTCATCACTTCTAACTATCGACAAAATTAAAGAAATATTAAAAGAATTGTGCTAGTTGAGATTCAATTATGATCAGTTCACAAACCTATGTTTAGAAATCATATCCTTTTCCATCATGGCTGACTAATTTACATGTTCACATAAATGTTTGGTAAGGTGACTAAACAATGACCAGTGCTAAGGAAGAAACTAAAGTAGCTGAAACCAATACTCCAAAGGGATATCATAAAGTGCCCGTCGATTTTGGATAGAGATGCAAACTAGAGGGCTAACTTTACCAACCCACGCCTTTTCAGCCAGATGGACTGTTGTGATGAAATATTTTCATGACTCGAACGCAGAACACAAGCCAGCACATGGTGAGTAATGCCTAGTACCACGAAAGTTACACCTCTAGTTAAGGATCGAGGGTTCCCATTATGACTAATCACCTCATTCTCGTGTTATGTAACTATTAGGCAAATTAACAATCAAATCAATCCCCATTGCACAAATTATAGCAGTTCGAAGGAATCATATAATCACAAGCCTTTTGACAATAAGTGGAGATCATAATCTGCAACTTCAAAAATCACAAAAAAAGAACCAAAGAAAATCACAAACAAAAAACACTTATCAGATTTTCAACAATATATAAGAGAACAAAAACTTGGAAAATAAATAACATTATATTAGAAAAGAGTTCAAGACAATGAGCCTCGAGTCATTCCCAACTCACATACATATTTGGCCAATATGAGAAACAGTAAAATCCCAGTATGAATGAGGAATACTAAAGTTAATGAACCATAAATTAGTAAGAGAAATAGCTAAGATATCGAAGAAACTCCTAAGATCGCATACCGAAACAGAACATATTCGATTCATCAATCCTCAAAATGTATAATCTCATCTTCATTTTCATATTTCACACGGTCATATAATCCCATCAAAACAGCATCATATAGCAGATTAAGTATGAAATCAATTCAGTGAATCATTTTTACTTGTGCCATTATTTTCTTCTTTTTCTGCCAACAATTTTCCAGACTCCTCGTCAGCTTGCTGAGCTTTCTTTTGCTCTTCCTTGGCCTTGAGCGCCTGCAACTTCGAGTGATTATAATACACCACACCCAAGAAGGCCAATGCATACCCAAACAGATTGATTGGAGTAACAGTGTCCTTAATCACGGACCAGGAAAATGCAATCAAGAGCCAGTCTTTAACCACGCCAGCTACATTCATAGTCAATGCAGAGGTCTTTCCAACGAGCAAGAACACGGCAAGATTCAGCGCAAATGCGCAGAAAGAATTGGTCCCAAAAATCAGAAAATCAAAATGGAAGCTGGAGGTCTCCTTCAAGATAGGAAACTCGACGAAAATCCACGGGAAAACCAGGAAAACCAAGCAGCAGGGAGCAACATAATAGAGGGATGTAATAGGATTAAGAGTAATTCCCTTAGAAGTTAGCAAGATCTGGATCATAACAAGCCTTGTAGCCTCAAAAGCCAGAGCACCCAATTGAAGAATCACTCCCCATGTGTCAAATTTGGCCTCTCCATAAGCAGCCACGCCAACCCCAATTGAGATCGAAATCATATTCGTCATCGTCTCCGATCTGAAAGTCTCTTTCTTGAAAATCACACCAATCGAATAAACCGCCACCGGCATAAGTGCCTTAAGCATTTGAATAAATGACACAGAGAGATAAATATAAGCCGAATTCGAAAGCCAAAGAGACACAGAATAAAGCAGCCCGATGGGTACGACGGATTTGATATACATATCCCAAGACATAGTCACAGGCTCGACAACCTTAAACACCCGAACAAGAAGATAAGCCAAGGACGAACAAAAGCTCATATGAATCATGGTTAGAGAAATCGGGTATGGCCAGTTGTACATCTTCCGATCCAGAATATACTTGTTGTACACTATCACGTTAAACGAAAGGAATATCCATATGGCCACGTAAGTGTATGACAGAACGATCTTCTTCAACACTCCTTCGCTCAACTCTCCTCCTTTCCCCATTGTAACTGCAGTTTTGTGATGGATTCAGATCAATGAACGAGAATAAAGGGGCGATTTTTTATTTTTGGCCTTTTTGGTGAATTTTTGGAGAGGGTGGATACGGGAGACGGGCGTTACAAACTGGAAGTAGAGAAGAAGGGGGAGAGGACGAAGGTAATATTTGTAGTAGCGAAGGCGGATTCTGTTGGAATTGACTAAGTAATATATTAAATTATTTTAATTTAATTAGAAAGTAGATTTTTCGAGTTATCAGTGGATGCCAATTCCTAGGTAAATAATTATTATTTTTCGACAATTTAAGAATAAATGAAAACCTAAATTCATTAATTCGAGTTATTACTTCAGTACTTGATTTATTGGGAAAGTTTTATGTTTATAAAACGGCACCCAAATTAATTTTCATGGTTTATATCACTAGAGATCAATAGATTTCAATCAATATAATAAAACAACGTCATCAAAAATGGATATCTTGTCGATCTTCTTGTAAGAGGAGTGCTTCAAACAACTTGAATACACGAGGTAATCAACTCGTACTATAAGGTGTTAACTCTTGTATCGAGTGATACCTTCATCACATTGAAAATACTGTCAATAATGTGTGATGAGGAATACGTGAAGCCATCATGATTTTTTGTTTTTAAAATGACAAGTGTTATGTTTAATTATAAGAAAAATGTGAAAATAGAAAAGAAAATACCTCTTAAGACCTATTTCAGAAAATATAACTCGTTTATCTTATACTATTGAGCTAACGTCGTCTTCTTGCTTCTTATTGTCTATCCACGTTCTGACAATGTTAAGGTAGAGATGGGATAAATTGACTTTATCTGTTTCTTTTTTTCTGTGTGAATCGATAGGGTCCGACTGACTTATTAAGAAATATGAGATTTTTTTTTTTTGAAGGTTTGAAGGACTTTTATAAGCAATTGGTAATAATATTTTTTTCGGAAATAAGAAAAATAAAAGGAATAGTGGTCCTTGAGTAGTAATGTAGACGAAGAAATGTCAAATGACCACGTGGCACAAAAAGTCATTTCTCCAAAATGTAGGAGAAGATCAAATCCTACACGTAGTGAATTGGGAGTTGCCCCCGTCTTTAATTCACAGGTGACGTTTCCTTTACTCAAGTTTGAAGAAATATGCTTCAGAGCATTTTCACTTAAAATTCATAGAACATTCACACGTGTGGGTTAGATAGTTAGAGTGTTAGTTACTTTTGGCACCATTTTCATTCGCTTATTTATATGGCAGCTGTAAGCTTCAATTAATCAGCTGAATAGAATTTCAACTCTCTTCTACTCCTCTCTCTCGATTCTGATAATAATTCGTGATAATATTGTTAAAATGATTAAATAAGTCAAATCAAATTTTTGATGCTGTTGTCGGGGATTGATTTATCTTTTCTTATTAATACTGTTACTAAGCAACATTAATTTTAATCTAAATTAATTTTGTTTTAATTTTTTTTAATTCGAATTACTCTTTTTGGTTTTCAGGTTTTGCCAGTTGATGCGACAATCCAAAAGTTGTAATTTGATTCATATTGATCTAGAAATTGAAAGAACTCTTCGAACAATAAGAGCAAAGAAGAAAGTTAAGGAGAACACAATGGCTGAGCAAAAAAACCATGGTCAACAAGAAGGTGTTGATCAATGGGAAATACCTATTAGAAACTACTTCAATCCGGTAGCCCAAGAGCATTACTCTGGAATAAGGCACTAAGTAATCAATGCCAACAACTTTGAATTGAAAGCATCACTCATTAGTATGGTACAACAGAATCAGTTTGGAGGATTGCCTAGGGATTGAAATCAAATCCTAATAATTCCTGTAATTAAAATAACCTTAATTTATCTAGATATAGGAATATTGGAATGAGATAACTAATTGACTAATTCAATAAATTAACAACGCAATAAAATAAGATTAACACTAATGGGATTAAACTCTAGAGATTCAATTTCACCTAACAATCGATCATGCTTCAATCATCTAACTATTCCTTAATTTATTTTTATGCATATATTGCTCACTTGCAAATATGTGTCGGCTAGAAGGTAGCGTTATACGATGAAGATGGCAGGGAAATTGATGGGTGCATTCATACCATGTTAAAATGTAGATCTATATCGACATTTAGATCTACATTTGAACCTAGATCTGGATATGAATATGGATGTAGATTTGGAGGTGGCGACATGATGTGTTGGTGTTGTTGGCAAATAATTATATCACCGTTAATTGATTTTGGCAGAATAACATCATTCACAATGAATGTTATACAATGTTAATGGTCGAGACAATAGTTCGACTCTTTCTTCTTAAGACGATAATGCCACGCACAGGTACTACGGTATTCTGGCACTCGTTTCTTAAGAGACAACTACCTCGTGATAGAATATAAAATATTGATAGAGAATAAGAAAAACTCGTTGATTTGTGAATTTCTGAATCTCCAAGTGTCTTCTCTCTTGTGTGGCTGCTGGTTTTCTTCTCCAAAAGTCCTTTTCTTGAACCCTTACAGCCGTATTTATAGTCCACCCTTTAAACTTGTCAGTTTTAGGGCTTATGTGGCGGGCTGGTTTCGTCGCAGTGTAGGGGCGCCTCTTTTGGGAGTAGGGGCGCCCGTCTTCTTTTGGACATGGTGCAGGGTCGCCTGCGCCTCCAGTTGAAAGACACTTTGCTGCTTCCAGAATGGTGTGGGGGCGCCAATACCCCCTGTAATATACATCATTGGTTTGGCTAGTGACATTTGAATTGCTCTTAATTGACTCCATCTTCTCATTGTTGACCCTCCTATTATGAAAGTATCCGAATATAATACAAAAACACATAAATGCAGTAGAAATCCTCAAATTCAAAAGTGAAAGATATCTAATAACTCCGTTATAAAACCAACTTATCAAATACCCACAAATTTAAGAATTTGCTTGTTCTCAAGCAAATATCAAACCAAAGAAAAGAAAATGAATAACCAACACACATACAAAACTAAAAAAGTCAATTAAAATTATAATTTCATTAATCATTTTAAAATTATAATGCAAACGTTAACTTCCTACCTATTCAATGCGAAAACGGATGTGTGTGTGTGTGTGTGTGTGTGTGTGTGTGTGTGTGAAGAGTTAAATGCAACGTTGTACAATAATAAATTGATATAATTCCCAACCTGAAAAGTCAATTTTTTCCTTACTTACTCGTAGGCTTCATACACCCCCGAACTTGTTTTCTTTTCACTCCCCATAATATATTCTAAAGTTGATTTTCAATACTAATCTCTTACACCACTCAAGTTTGGTTAGATTTCGCTACTTGCAGTTCAAAATGTCAGCAAATATGGATTCTCCTTATTTTTGATTGCTTTGAACTCCAGGACTCAACAAGGTTGATAACCCCTCATTAAATGTCTAATCCTCGAAAATAAGTGTTCGAGACTTAATCATGATATGTGATGTCTTCGTTTTCATGCACCTTTTTTTTTTTTTGTATATATATCTTATGTGGGTCGCTCTCCATTAAACTTTCTAAATGACCCCTGTAGCGAGTTTTAAACTTATGACTCTCAAATTAGATGATTTTAGGGCACTAGGTTTTAACCCTTGCGGGCTTATTTACCTGAGTCATAAAAGCTACAAAGAGACGCCATACAATAAGATTACTATGATTGTCCTCACTAGGATCTCTTTAGGGTAGCTTTCCTTGTATACAGTGATTAGTGCAATACCCTTTATTTAACACTTATGTAGCACCTCCTCCTAAGGCTGTGGTGAATCTTGTTAAAGAGTTCTATTCCAATGCAATTGACCGACATGAGTATACAGTCATGGTACGTGGGAAACTGGTGAAATTTGACAAGCATACCATCAATGCCCATTACTGACTACTAACTATTGAAAAGGACGAATATCACCAATTCCTTGAGGGTTCTGTCAATCACATTTCGTTGCTCCAAAGTTTAGGGGGTGAACAAGCCTTTTGGAATTTTTCCTCCAGCGGAGAACCAGTCAACTTTGATTCAAACTACCTTGATCTAGATGGAAAAGTGTAGTTTTTATTAATTTGTATACGATTTATGCCGACTAGACATGCTACAGATGTGACCAAAGATAGAGTGTACTTGCTCTTTTCAATCCTACAAGGGATTAGTATCGATGTTGGGCAAGTGATTCAAGATAACATTGTGTACTTCTTGAAGGATAAGACAATTGGAAGCTTGCCGCACCCAGTCCTAATTTCTGATCTTTGTATCGAGGTTGGAGTACATTTTATTGAGAATGAGCATCAGGCGGGTACTTTAAGTGCACTGGACGACACACATATTCAAAAGATTCAGAAGCTGATTGCAAAGCAACAAAAGGACTCCAGAGCAGCATCATCCCAACATCAGCCAGTTAGATGAGGATTGGCAAACCAATATAGAAGCTAAAGTTGATCGAATCCAATCCAGATTTGATGTTTTCCAGGAGCGAACTGATCTTCACCTAGATTACATGATGGAATCCAACCTTGTAGAACCATATTTTCAGCAGTTACACATTCGTGCCACAAGTAGGTGGACCATCCAGGGAAGTCTCCTTCCATAACTTTAATTTCACATTGGGGACAATGTTTAGATTAATTTTGGGGGGTGCTCTATAAGTTGTCTATTTGCTTTATTTTCTTCAATGGTTTATTTGCTTTAGTTTTTGTTTTTATTTTATTTTGTGTGATTTTTATTTTTTTATGTTGTGTAATATTTGTGTTAAAAAAAAAATTTTCGCATCCTTGTGTGAGTTGGATAGTCTTGCCGACATTGATGTATTTATTTGGTAACATGTTTTGGTTGATGAATTGTGCATAAGTTATGTGTTTTAGTTAAATTCTTGCTTATTCATGTGAGACGGGAAATATTTATGCACGTGAGTTGATTGTAATGTTGCACATGAGTAGATTGATCCATTGTTTATAGGTTGTAATAGAGAACTTAAATACTATACCCAAACAACCATTACACATCATTATCTCCTTAAACCAAATATAGGATATTTGGTTGGTTGAACTGTTGTAGGTAGACATGGAGATATATATGGATTCAATGTGTACAAAATGTTGTTTGGACTGTCTGAGACCAATGTGATGAAAATTGGGTGAAAACCCTAAAGTTATAGGTTTATTTTTGAGAATACGTGTTGAATAAAGGGCATTGCACTAATCACTGCATACAAGGAAAGTTACCCTAAAAAGATCCTAGTGAGGACAATCATAATAATCTTATTGTATGGCATCTCTTCGTAGCCTTTATGACTCGAGTGAATAAGCCTGTAAGGGTTAAAACCTGATGTCCTAAAGTCATCTGATTTGGGAGTCATCAGCCTAAAGCTCGCTACAAGGGTCCTATAGAAATTTTAATGGAGAGCGTCCCCACATACAAAAAAAAGGTGCATGAAAACGAAGACATCACATAGAAAGTCTCGAACACTTATGTCCGAGGATAAAGTTTATAATAAGGGGTTAGGAACCTGGTTGAGTCTTGGAGGTCAAAGCAGTCAAAAATAAGGAGAATCCATATTTGTTGATATGTTGAACTGCAATTAGTGAAATCTAACCAAACTTGAGTGGTGTAAGAGATTAGTATTGAAAATCAACTTTAGAATAGACCACGGGGAGTGAAAAGAAAACAAGTTTTAGGGTGTATGAATCCTACGAGCGAAGTAAGGAAAAATTTGACTTTTCATGTCGGGAATTGGATCAATTTATTATTGTGCAACGTTGCATTTAACTCTTCACACACACACACACACACACACACATTTTTGCATTGAATAGTTGGGAAGTTAACTTTTACATTATAATTTTGAAATGATTCATGAAATTAATGCATGTTGCCAATCCTGAGCTACGAAGTCAAGATATCTAACGCAATTTGTTTTAATTGATTTTTTTTTTTCAGTTTTGTTTGTGTGTTGGTTATTCATTTTCTTTGGTCTGATATTTGCTCGAGGACAAGAAACTTCTTATATTTGGGGGTATATGATAAGTTGGTTTTATAATGGAGTTATTAGATATCTCATTAGATATCTTTCACTTCTGAATTTAAGGATTTCTACTGCATTTATGTGTTTTTGTATTATATTCAAGTACTTTCATAATAGGAGAGTTAACAATGAGAAGATGGAGTCAATTAAGAGCAATTCAAGTGTCACTAGTCAAACCAAGAATGTATATTACAGGGGGTATTAGCGCCCTCGCGCCATTCTGGAAGCAACAAAGTGCTTTTCAATAGAAGGCGCAGGTGCCCCTGCGCCATGTCCAAAAGAAGACGAGAGCCCCTGCGCCGCGACGACACCAGTACACCACATAAGCCCTAAAACTGACGAGTTTAAAGGGGGGACTATAAATACGGCTGTAAGGGTTCAAGAAAAGTATTTTTGGGAGAATGAATTGAGGAGCACACAAGAGAGAACATCCTTGGAGATTGAGGAATCCACAAATCAACGAGTTTTTCTTATTCTCTATCAATATTTTCTATTTTATCAATGTTTAAGAACATGAATTGTGTTTTCTTTTATATTTTCATGGAGTAATTTATTTTTCCAGAGATACAATGTAAGCAACACAAGAGATTATGCTTTGATCGATAAATTATCTATTCTAGAAGTTATTTAATTGGTTTATTTGTGTTTATCTACTTTTAAATGCTTGATCACCATTTGAATGATATTGAATTTGGGATTTACTATCGAGAGAGGGGATTCTAAATAGGGATCATTGATAAACACAACTTAGGAGATTATAGAGTTCTAGAGGCCTATGAAATCATTTGTAGTCATTAAGAGAACCAAATATTTAAATGTACTATATCATCTTAATTTTAGATGGAGACTCAAAATTAGGGTTTTAAGAGTAATTCTTAATTCGCCATCGAGAGAGGGGATTAAGATAATTTTGGGTTCTTGACTAATAGACCATAAGAATAAATTAAGAAATAGTTAGATGATTGAAGCATGATCTATGGTTAGGTGAAATTGAATATGTAGAGTTTAAGCCCATAAGTGTTAATCTTGTTCAATTGCATTGTTAATAAATTAAATTAGTCCAGCTAGTTATCTCACTCCGATATTCCTATTTTCTAGATAAAATTAAGGTTATTTTAATTACAGGAATTATTAGGATTTGATTTCAATCCCTGTGAAAAATGATACTCTACTCTCACTATATTAAAATTTGACATCGTACACTTGCGGTTGGAAAATTCTCGCATCACAAAGAATAAATACTTTGATTCATCAACTTACACCACAATTTAGTTTGAACTTTTTAATTCATAGAAAGCTCAAATTGCAAAGAATAACATGTACTAACATCTAAAATGTAATAATAAGATACGAGGCAAGAGACAAAAACTAGTAGTCGATATTAATTTCTTAGTGATAGAGTCTACAGTTTTAGATTGATTACTATCCAAACTAGTTTTTTAGATTTTATATTTTTTACCTAGTATATAATTTGTAAATAAAAAATTATATGAAAAATCGGTTTCATTCGGGTACCCACAATTCTGATCCATAAGCCAAAAATAGCCCCAAATTCAATCGGTTCTTGGTTCTGGATCCTAATTTATTCAATTCGATTTTGGTTCGAAAGGCTTGGTTTCGTTTAGGCCAGGATATTTTAACCAGATTCAAACCTCCCGAACTCAAATTGAAAAAATAATTAAATTAGGAACCGGAACCAAGAGAACGGCTCCGTCAGTTCGGTTCAATTCTTCATTCTTGAACCACAATCAAGGGTATCTGAATGGAATTGAATTTTTATATAATTTTTTTGATTTTTATAATGTATAGGCTGAGTAAAAATTACAAAGTCTAAAAACTCTAATTTGGGTAGTATTTGTATAAAACTCTTGATTCTAACCCTAATAAATCAAGATTGGCTCATATTCTTTTGTCTCTCATTTTACATCAAATTGTCGCATTTCAGATGTTAGTACATGTTAATCCTTGCAATTTGGGCTTTTTATGAATCAAATGCTAGGATTTTGGTGTAAGTTGTTGTATCAAAATGTTCATTCTTTACAATTCGAACTCTCTATTTTCTTACATTGTTCACGAACTTAAGTGATTTTTCAGTTTTTTATAACGCTCAGCAATTGAATTTAATATATTCATCGTTTGTGGTGTACCTTTTTAGCTATCTGAAATTCATAATTCTCTTTTAATTTTTTTTTCCTTTTTATTCAAACGGAGCAATTGATATGTGTACTGCAATTTCTTAATATTATATAGTTATTTATCTAGTTAGTATTTTTATTATCAATTCGTTTTAAGAGTAGAAGAATTTAAGTATTGTGCATAATTAGATTATTGGTTCTAGCATGCCCCACTTATGGATCAAATAAGATTTATTTAAAAAAATCATTTGTTATCAAACTGTAATTGCTTCTTAATGTTTTAATGTTTTCCTCTTTCTCATCATTCAGTCTCCACTATCTTGGTCATGTAGTTGAATTCTTAGCTTTTTGAAGATTTTTTAGTTGAATTTTCTCCTTGCACAAATATTGCTATGGGTATAGCGTGTTAGGTAAACGTATCAAAATGATCCATATGAAATGTTTATTAAATATATACATTATGTTTAGAACCGAATATGAATCAGAATCGATGATGTGGGTTTAAGTTTGGTTCCAATAATTATAATGGCATGAATAGTTTCGTTTACGAAATACTTGAAATATAATGGGTGATTCTAAATATTGAAATACTTGGACCGATTCGTTAGACACCAAGCCTATTTTTGGTTAAAATGTCTAGGCTTAGCCATAACCATACGACCCAAAGGCAGCCAAAGTCCCTATATAGATGAGGGTTCCATAATATTAATGTTTTCAATATATAAGGAAAATACTTGTTATATATCATCATTTATATAATCTTTTACAGATTGATGAAATATCAAAAAGAGAGTGTATGAATTTTTTATTTTATTTTTTAGTTAATTGATGAGACTTTGACTTAATCAAATCTCGTCACGTCATCTATTGATAAATAAATTTGTAAATTATGATGTACATATATAGCACAATTGACATTATATATACTCTTCAAGTGTAAATAGAAAACCTTATACTAAGTAGACCTAATGTCCCAAAATTCTTAAGAGTGGGGGAAGGCACTCAAACTATAGTAACCTTGTTAAAACTCACAATTAATAAAATTATCATTCTGTATTTTTGAAAAGAAAAAAAAAATGTTTTTGATTCCCTAAATTGGGCTTTGGCTGAACCACCATAGCCCACTGGAACGAGTCCTTGTGCTTCACGCAGAATACAAATTCTGAATTCATAGCAAAAGGATTCATCCTTTGACGTGCACTAGGACTCTTTATTCATCTCCTTTTGTTTAAAATCGAAAGATGGATGTATCCGAGGATGTTTTTTTCGAGATATTACTTCGATTTCCACCGAAGTCCGTGTTCAAATTCAGGTGTCTCTCGAAGAGATCGAATCAAATTATCAATGATTCTTTCTTTCTTCGTAGTTATGCCGAACAAAGAAAAGGTCGTGGTCGATTGTTGGCTTTCATATTGAATCAAAATAGAGAATCGTCACCAACTACAAGAATAGCACCTCTGTCGGGTAACCAAGTTGGTACCATCCCCAAGAAATATGGTATTTTTATCTGTTCCTCTGATAGCCTCGTTCTTTGTGTTGGTTGTAACTCTGATAGCACCATCAAAAACCCGGCTTACCATGTTGGAAATCTTCTAACGAAAAAGTGGGTGTCCCTACCATCTCCTCCTGATCCAAAAGTGAACGTATCGATCGCACTGGCCTGCCAAGAAACTTCTTCCCAATTGGTGACCAATTATAAAGTCGTGCAGTTCACCGATGTAGCATCTAACGGAGCATTTATGATTGAAACTTACTCCTCCAAGACTGGGATGTGGACAAAATCAAAAGTTTTCTCCACAGCAAGTTCTTTTTGGTGGGTTTTTGTACTTGGTCGACCGCTTGCGCTTAATGGCATTATACATTGGCCAGTCGCAAATCATTTCATTGCCGTATATGACCCATATGACATTGGAGGAGAGAATCATCTTCAGATAATACAAAAGCCAGTTGCTGATGCAAGAATTTGTTCCTCTGTTCTTACAAGATCAAGTGATGGGATATTATGGTGTGGAGTGACCACTTGCCTGAATATGACCAGAATTTGGACCCTTCCCAAGGGTGAAAATGGCTATAGACGCCCTCACACCATACCCTCAGAAGAGTGGAGCCTAGTGTATACGATGGATTTCGATTTCTTAGGCAATGACTGTTCAATGACAAGTTATGAGAGGAAATATATGAAAGATTACAATGGAATTCGTATGATAGCCTTGTGCCCGTGGAATCCACTTGTTGTGTATTTCTTAATAAGTGACACCATCTTTCTCTATAACACAGAGAGCAGGATAATGGAACGAGTTCAATATGACGGCAAACCGATCACCGATCCTTTTTACATGAACCCTTACTTCGAGTCACGTTTCTTGTCTTCTTATGCTCTTCAGTAGAGTGCAATGAAAATAACTATAGTAGATTTTATATTTGCAGTAGTACGAGTTTGAGTTATTTCAGGTTTTATGAATTCCTCTTGCCAATGTTCATTCCATAATTATTACAATTTTCGATACTCATTGAAACAACAGAAATTATCTTACGGGAATTATTCGAATTCATCTTTAATCTGCAACAATGATTTCTTTCTGAATGGCTTTTCCTATTCAGCAGCTTTATGCATTGCAGCCAGTGTTCAACATTCAGTATTATAGTTTATGATAAGCTCAAATGAGCAATTCAATCTGTTAAAGTCCAAACGAGCATTCAGATTCCATGATTGGTATGTTTAAACGAGTCACCATTTTGCGAGACACGTGAAGAGTAATATCTCACTATGGTTTAAGATAAAACACATAAACAACATAAGGGTTTTGGATTTTCATGTTAAAAAGTTTGACCTGTAAGTGTTGCGCATCAAGTCTTAATATAGTACCATAACTCATTTAGTTCAACAATATGATCCGTCTCAATACAAACATTTGGATTTAAAAACTGGTGCACTCAAATAAATCATCTTACGAGGGCATGTTAAAGATAAAATCTCGTGTCGGTTAATTATAAATATATTAACCAATACATAATGGTTTGAAACTACTCATTTTAACAAAGTTGACCTTTTAAGACGTAATCTCAAGTCTTAACCTTGTTCTACAAAGCTTAACAAGTGAACAAAAGTCGTTTAATCTATGTTAAATAGCTTTTCGAAAACTAAATTGAATTAACGAGTCGATCTATATATGTATCTCAATTCGTTATTGAATGATCAAACGTTGTTTAAGATAGTTCAAATATTGTATGAAATTGGCATGAAAAGGGTTGGGAGATGGCCAGAAAAAAGGGACGAAAAGAGGGCACGGAGTGCTGCCTAGGCAGCCAGCGCATGTGTGCTGCAAGATGCGCTGCCATGAAGTGCAACAGGCTGTCCATACCGCTTTGGCGCGAGTTTTTGAACTTCTTCCTCTCAAATGGTGCCACTTCATGGTTCGGGAGTGTCTTTTCAGGTAGGGATGCTTCTTCTCTCTATAAAAAGAAGTAGATATTGGTGAAGGAAGATACTATTAATATTCTTGAAGATCTTCCTCTTCCTCAACATAGTTGCCATCATCGATAACTTCAACTCTCTCTTCCTTTTCGTCCCTTATAAAAAGTAATATGCCGTTGTCTGCACTTATGCCCCGGTTCAAACTTCTCATCACAGTAATAACAAGTGTTTCCGCTCTTTTTCTTGCATCTCAGCTGTAGATATCTTCTTGATAGGTCGCATTTGCCTAACGCCGCTTTTTTTGCCTCGGCATATGCAACACTTGGGAGTCATTTACCTGATCTAGCTTCTTTAATGATCGCTTCCATGGTATTTTCCGTGGCGGTTACTTTGATTTTTTATGCCTTATATCAATGTACCAAAACTTATTCAGGTAACCCTTCAGTTCTCGTCAATAAAACCTCAAATAGTTCCCCATAAATCCTTACTGATGAAGTCAGCCTTATTTTGGATTATCATACGTTCCTCGTCCAAATCTTTAACCCTAGCCTCGTAACCTTGAAACCATTCAAGGGCCTTACGAATAATGAGCTGCAATGCCTCGTAAAAGGGAACAGAACAATAATCAAAAATCAAATGAAGCGACATAATCATAAACTAGTGTAATAACCAGCTGAATATTGGATTAGTAAAAACTCAAATCAAATATATTGATGGTAGGATTTACGAATTGTTCTTAGCTTTTTATTCAGATTACTCAAACCATTTGATGCATATGTAGCAAATCGATGTTTAATGAGCTGCTATGCCCCGTATAAGATCATGATTGTGAAACAAGCAGTCTCTTTTCTTCCTCCTCGAGTCTTTTCAACCATCTAAATCCAAGATCACATCCAGCATTGGCAGCTATCTCAAATTGTCCTTTTGCCATCTCAACTGGATTAGGTTCAGGGCTTCCAGCATTCTTCCTTGATTTTCGATTGGAGGATCCTCTCTTGACATTGAATTTGGTTAGCGATTCCGGAACTTGAACACCTAAAACATTTGTAACAAAATACTAATTCATAAACCTAAAAAAAGATTACACAAGGTACAAGCTCCAAGGAGTACAAAAATACTAGATGAAATTATGAACTGCCATCCGATGAAAGAAAAAAAAAGAAAAAAAAAAGGTAGCTAGACGTCCTCTATACATTAAGGGTGCATTTGGTACGCACTTCTGGATATAGATTGGGACATTACAATTCTTTACTTTAATATTATTCAATATTATTCAGTATGCCCACCAAACATGCCATAATTTTTTACTGATGTTCAGCTAGTAAGCAGATGCCAATGCATCTGTGGTCAAAACAAGTCATTCAATTTTCAGCTTTGTAAATTGATGTAAATGCAATAACCCCGAACTTAGGGTTTCTTTAAGGAACTCATTCTTCCTGTATCATCCATTTAAGTATTGATGACAAAACCATAATATAAGAAATCTAAAGCCACAAGAATTTCATGAAAAATAATATTACCTATTTTTATATTTTTAATATGAAAATTTTTTGGACAGTAATAACATTACGGCTTGTACTTTGCCAAGTCACTAGAAAAGGTACACTGCCATCCATTTTGTGTAAGGAAAGTGCTAACCTCTAAGAAGAAGCGATCCATAGGCTACAGCAGCACCAGCATGACCCTACATGAATACTAACAGCGTGAAGAGAGTTCTGTTTATGAAAGTTCTCTAACTAGAACAATATAAATGTTCAAGTATTCAGAAGGCCAAACAGATAAAGGCACAAGCCTCAAATTTTATAAGCAACATTTGCAGAAACCTTAAGAACATGTTTGGCTAAGATTAGAAGTTACTCCTAAGTAAATATTTTTTACCAAACACATTTGAGGTTTTCTATGAGTTACTACTTACAGATTTTGTAGTTCAAAAACTTGATTTTTCTAATAGTAATTCTTCCCTTAATTTCCAAAAAAAAAAAAAAAAGGTAATTGAACTTTAGCAAAGCATGCTCTTAGTACCATGGCAGTTCACAAAGGAAAAGGCATCAATGACTGAAACCAACAGTAGTTAATCCCAAGAAGCAGCGGGGAAACTACTACTATTACCTTTTCAGAAGCCCTATGGAAACACCACAATGCCGAGGCATCATCTTTTTTCACGCAATCCCCAGTCAAATATACAGCACCTAAAAGGTAGAGAGCACCTGGATGCAACTAGACATAACAAGTTTTGATAAGGTATCAAAGCATATATAGAAAGCATTATGGCTTGTGCATGCCTTGCAGGGGCATACCTGCTCAACAGCCTTCTCCAGATAATAGAAAGCTCGCTGATCTGATTGAACATAGTCATTCTGTCAAAAATAAATAAAAAATCAACAGCTAGATTATATTTATTCAAAAGCAGTTTCTATTCTTATGGAACAAGATAAATGATATATAGAAGCATACAGCATTGTGGTCATCTAATTATATTCCCCATCTTAACCCACAAAAACAATCCAGATCTCTACTTTTTGGCACAACATTTAGATGAAACTTCTATGTTCACGGATTAGTTTCTCTTCTTTTCCAATTTTATTTTGAGTTCGTTTAGAATATGAGGAAGGAAAGAAAAGGATGGTGGCAAAGAAACGCTGTGACTCAATTTCTGGAAAATCCAGAGAGAAAGTTGAGCGAAGGTGAAATAGGAAGAGAAAAGACCAGTTATATTACAGAAAAGAGTAAGACACTCAATAAAGCCTGAAAAGAATTCTTTCAGCATCAAAGTTGATCCAATAGTTGGGTAATAGATTGACGTTGAAAATTGAGATGAACGCAATAATTTGATACCGAAAAGTAAAGCAGGAAGTCCATAGAAATATAATTGATTATATGCAAGTCTTTCCCTTTCAGTAACCAAGAGAGCATAAGAACCAGCCAGGCAAAAATGAGTATTTGCATTCATATGCACTGACAAATCCTTATTAAGTAGATTATGCTTTATTAGAATGAGGCAAACACTGCTAAGGATTATCCACGTAGTTCATAAAGCTTAATCTAAAATTAGATTATGACAAGCTTGTGGCAATTTCTAAACATATAGATATCATATATATATATATATATATATATATCCTAGTCAGTATTTGGTCCGGTGATGGGTATGAAACTTTATATATTGTTCCATTCATTAAGAATGCTGACCTCAACTCTTAGGCTGCAACCCAGTTCATACTGTGCATCTGGATCACCCATCTCTGCAGCTTCCACTAACAAAGCAGCCCCTCTATGATGAACAAGTAAAGAGAAATATAAATTCTGAGTCTATGCAATAAATAGTAACAGTTACATAGTAACGATAATCCACTTGCCAAATGGAAACCAAAGTTAGATATAGCACATCACTCTATTTGATAAGGGAAGAACTAGGAGACAATCTATAACCTTGTGGGGTGGTTTTTGACATAATCTCAAAACTGCAGATAAGCAGCTGGACTCTGATACAAAATGAATTTACAATAGGAAAGACATGATTTCTTACACGGCTTTACATGCACCAGGTACATGGTATTTCATATGCAGATTGGACAACCAATATCTAGCATGAGTGTTTGAGTTGTCAGCTTCAAGGGCCAATTCAAAGTTCTCCTTTGCAGTCTGACACAACATCCACCAATCTAAAGAAAGTCAATCCAATGATCATGCATTCAGTAAACTAAATTTAAATTCACAAAAAGACAAAGCGAAAACATACATACAATCAGTTCAAAAAACGAGTTCACAGTCAATATTTTGAGACAGGGGGAAAAATGTAAGAACAGAACAGACAGAAAGTCATAATTGGAGACAAGAGTATTATAGATATCAATAGAGCTCTTGAGGGTATTCCTATTCTGCATTATAACGCATAGATTAATGCAAAAGCTATCTTGCCATATTCTCTCCATGACATATTGCAAGATTTTCCAACATATCTGTACGAATCATTTTTGCTAATAACTCAAGGCCGGCGACATTAGTCCTATTTCACGATTCCAATCTATTCCATAAGTTCCGAAGATATCAAAGGTCTTGCAATTTATCTTGTACCATTGTAATTTTTTCTTAACTCTTACTTTCTAACATGTTCTAACTTCTAATGGAACTGGATCGCTCTTGCAAATGGGAAATTCTTTAGTTCTATGTAGACATGCCTCAACCATGTGAATTGTTCTAAATATTGTCTTATCATTATTCATTATTTTGTTCACTTTACTGTGACGACATATCTATCTTAACATCCTCACTTTAATGTAATGAAATCTGATCATTTTAGTTATCCAACCATCCCTACCATAGTGTAATAGCCGTACTATTGATCAGTAAGCATCTTCATATCACATAGAATCCAAGTAACCATTGGCAATTTTGTCATTCCACTCTAATCCAATGCATTGCATCCTTTTAATTTGAGTTTCCGGATATTAGTGCCCAAAATAATAGCCGAAATCATTTTTTTTTCCTCGACCACAATACCTGTTCCTACTATAGCTAAAATCATATTCCATATATTACACCTTAGAAAAGCTTAATCCAAAATCTATAAACTCCAAAGTAGTTAGCCGATGTTCTAAGTTACTACCTATTCCCCTCAAAAGTACTAAAAATAATAGCAACAACAACAACAATGATTAAAAATATAAGTCCAAATAAATTAAAATTACTAGAAAAGGCAAAACAATTGGAAGGAGATCAACAGTGACTTCCAATGCTATCAATAAAATGCTAAAATGATTATGAAAGAGGTAAAGTTTACTGAATATGCAAAAACATAAATACCTATCAAATTAACAAATTCTCTTTGGTGTTAGCAACTAATCAAGAGTTGTATCTATTAAAAGGAAAAAATCACTGGTGAACCATAACTGAATCACGATGACAGAAAAATCAGGGATTCGGTTAATTTAACACGTAGAATACCTTTATGATGATTTGTCCTGCGTAAAGCTAGTACCCCAAATTTTATAGGCGCTTAAGGCCACAAAATGATTTAATAAAAATATGATTGCAACTAAAATCATCCATGTTTTATCTGGCTGAACACGTCATACATGCATGTCACAAAAAAATGTGATGTAAAGAGCATGGATCAAAGACTAACACCTCAGGTTCTGGGTAAACTTAGTAAAATTATTTTAGGATTACTGGTTCTAGTAATTACCCATCATATATACAGGTTATCTAACTTATAAATATATCAGGATCATCAATGTGTTGCTCATAATAATCAATAAAGAAACAAATTAAGGCATGTTTTAATCAGTGAACACCGGAATATATACCATCACAAGAATAGAATAAAGAACTTTAATTTTTCATTTTTAGAATGAAAATTACCCTAAGGAGAGGGATGAGACGCTTGTCATTAAGTTCACAATAATCAATCACTCTATCAACTTCCTGCAAAGCACTCCACCCTTTGGCAATTAACTCCATGGACTGCTTGTTCCTACTATGCATCCATCTCTACCAAATAAAGAAAACAAAATTATTTTACGAAAATTAAATAAAATAAATTATGACAAGTTTAGAAACACGAGTGCGATGATTGCTATAGGAAAAATAACTCACCAGCGACTTGAATTGTGCAAAATAAATATTGGGTTTCTTGAAAGCTGCCTTTTCAATGAATGCTCTGAGCATTTCTATTCCTATGTGTCAATCAAAACAAAAAGATCACCCAATTGAATAGATTTCAACTTTTTGCACTTCAAATGGCAAAGAGAGGTACTTATAAAATTTTGGAGGAGATAAAATTCTAAATAAAGAATTAATTAAGTAAAACCCAATTGAATACTCACAAGTAGGGGTCGGCGTGGGTTGGATCGGCTCGGTTTTTTTACACAACCCAACCCAACCCAATTATGTGTTTAAACCCAACCCACCAAGTTTCAATCAGGTTGGGCTGGATTGGTTGGTATGCTTTACCAAACAAGATCTGTTTAACTATGTTGGTCAAATTTTGATTTACCAAACAATAACTGGTGTCTTTTTTTCGAATTTTGCTTTACCAAACAAGAACTGACTCCATCAACTTACGAAATCAAACTTCAGATTATTTTCTAGCTTTCTTCTATATTCAACCTCATGTACTCCAATCAAGAAAACCATATAATTAACAGCTCAAACACTGAACAAATTGCCTGCCCATATGTTTAACATAGTTAAACCCAATTATATGCAGCAATTACAGTGACATAATTCAAAAATAAAGAAAACTATTACAGTATAGTTAACCAACATAGAAGAGTCAAAGACAGATTGTTTCTTCATTTTCGACAGGATAAGCAAGCATAAACTTCAACAGTGGTCTTCCAAGAACCATAAATTGAAATGGAACTATGATTAGCATTAAGTGCCCAAACTTACTAAAGTAATTAAGCATAATCAATTGGAAATTTTTCTAAAAGGTCTTTAAAATTTACATATTAATAATGCTACTCTTTCCTATGATGGAATTTAGAGAAAAAAAATTAAATTGATTGCATATGCACCCAAGAGAGAATGCAAGAATCACACTAAAACCTATATTAACAACTGGAATTTTTTTACGTTTTTCCATCTTTTTCCGACTGCCCAATTCCTAGGCAAATCAAACAATTGTAAAACCGTAGACATTCATCACCACAAGTTCGGAAAAAATATTGCAAAACACAGGCATTATTAAAGAATAACAGAAACAAGAATTAAAGTCAAACCACATTTTCAAATACTATATCAAAGAGTCAATCCAGGTTTTCAAAAAAAAAAAAAAACCTATCGTTGGGTCCCCTGGAGGCGTGGGTGACCGGCGGTGGCTACTGGCAGCGAGATAGGCTGAAGAAGAAAGCCGCCTTTGGGCTTTGTGATGGATTGGAGGAGACTAGGGTTTTCTTTCAGGGCAAATGGAAACAATCTTTCTACTTGTATCTAACTTTGACGAAATGGATGAAATGAAAATTCTATGAGTTATAGTAATTTTTTACACATTAATTTTAACAATTTTTTCATTTTTGCGTTTTGGGTCGATTTTTGCCCACCTCTACAACAAAACCGAATTGAATTATTTGCTTCTCTTTGTAGTCTGATTGAACGGCACAATCAAAAGTGAAAAACAGAGACTCCAAGAGACAGAAAAACCTTTCTATCTATACATTTAAAACAATATTTTTTCATTTATATATTTTATTATTTAAGAACATTATTTATAAGTTATTACTTTAAAAAAATAATTAATAAAAAATATTTAACAGTGCTTTTCGTAATCTTTATTTTTATTTTTTTAATTTTAAATGGCGTATTGGTGTAAACCTTTTTATTCGACTCTACTTATAGTTCTCAATTATCTCAACTATTATTAACTTCTTATGATTTAGTAGAGAGAGCTCTTTCATTAGGTAAAACAAGTTTAGCATTTAGATAGGAAAAAAAAAATACTTCATTGTATCTATGAAGTTAAATTAGTCATTTGAAGTTATTTCGAGGAGGTTTTGAATCTTAAAATTTGCATGCAATATAATTCATATCTATCTTCTCGGTAAATTAAAAAAAAATGATCAATGATCCATTACTACAACGATAATCCAAAAACAATTCATTACGTCGACAAGACAACAATTTCAATTAAGGGCATTGACTTGGTGATGAAAGTAGATTGCAGCTTCTTGGACTGTACGTTCTAAAACGAGACGAAAGCCAAGCAGCACACACTATTACTTCAAAATCAAGTTGCAATTATAGACTAGAATTTGTGCACTTCCTTGGAAGAATCTGTATTTCTAGAGGAGATGATTTTGGGCTTCTTTACGTGATTCTGAAATTAAGTATTAGGATCCAGAGGAGATGATTTTGGGCTTGTTTACGTGATTCCGTGTCTTGAGTGACTTTTGGAAGACAAAGGAGAGGGGCAACACCAGAATCCCTCTGGGATCATAGCAATTGGAACATTTTTAATCTTAGTTTGACCCTGTTCTACTCTTGTAAGTCTAATTTCAGCAAGAAATTCAAACCCTAAGTCAATTTTTGGCTCTTTCAAACTCAAAAAAGAATGTGGAAGAATTCCAACAAACATTTACTTCTACCCAAATTAAACAACTTCTCTGTCATCAATTAAGATAAAGAACAAAGGTCTAATTTTGAATTTAAACATCGGTCCTCTTACAGAAACTCTGTAATTGACTGACATATATACGGAGAAAACATACCAAATTTAAATTCAGACCCCAAAAGCAAACATAAAGTGCAGGACTAAATTCCATCACAATAGAATCCCTCCACAAAACTGGTCTCAATTGGAGAGATAAGAAAAAAATCTTTTTGACCAATAATGCAGATCTTCAAAAATCAGACAACCCAAAACGACAATACAAAACATAATTCTTCAAAAATGTTCCTGTTTTTCATACAACTAGCTCAAATCTTAGTCCAAGGAATTTAGTCTACTCATTAAAGTGGAATACTAAGAAAACTCAGAAAAAGTACGAAGACTAACCAAATAGATGAGAGGCGCCGGTGGTCGGTGGTGGAAGGCGGCGAGACGTCGAGATATGAGAGACCTTCTTTACCTTCTTCTTCTGCCGATGGGAGGCATCGAGGCGAGAGACTCAGAGACGAGAGTGAGATTTTTGAGAGAATTCAAGTCCCAGATTCTGTGGTTTTAGCCTTGAGGTTTGGATTTGCCGATTTGGTGTCTCCTTCGACGCTAAGAGACGATATTGGATTCAATGGATTTGGATTTGGATTTGGATTTGGATCAGATTATATTTTTTTTCTATTGGGCTGATAAATTGGAAAGTCCAATAGGCCAATTGAAAAATTAAAAAAAGTGAAAATTACATGGAGCCCTACTTTTCAAGATCCAAGTTCAAAAATCAGATTTTAAGTTTTAATGTTCAAAAATCAGATATTTTATAGATACAGGTTTTTATATTTAATTAAATATTAATAATAATATTATAAAAATTAATTTATATACATGTAAATCTCTAGCTTCTCACATTCCAATCCCTCCCCCTTCTCTCTTTCGGCCGCAGGAAGGGGCTTCTCTCCATTATTTCCTCCACTAACGTTGGCGGCGATGAGTTTGGCTGGATGCCAGTGAAACCACAGTGGCGCTCAGATAATGATGGCCGTTGCTGCACTCAGATCAATGATGGCGGGGTTCGGTGATGGTAGGTTTTTGCCCGATGGTGGTGCGGTGATCCGTTGGAGCTACGGCACCGTGTTAGGGCTCCAACCCTGGCTACGTCCGGCCAACAATCGAACGGTCTCACCCGTAGAAAATCAGCCTCGCATCTCCCTTCATCCACCCATCTTCCTCTCGTTTCCTTTTGCTATGATATTTTTCGATTCAATTTTTTGGTGGTGGTGGTTGCGTTGTTGTGGCGGATCTGCACGGTTGTGGCGATGGTGGTGGATCTGGTGGGTTGGGATGCGATGGTAGGAGATGATGGTGGTGGTGGTTTTGGCTGCGGGGGTTTCAATGGGTATTTTTCGATTCAATTTTTTTGGTGTGTTTGCATTGTGGTGGCTGATCTGCGTGGTTGTGGCAATGGGTTAGGCTGTTTTGGCGACGATGGTGACGCTTATAGTGAGTTGCGATTGTGTTGGCGCCGTTAGCGATAATGGTTGTGGTGAGTTGCCAGATGTGGTAGTGACGTCGGAATAGGGTTAAGGTACGTTGACGGTGGTGGTGGTGGTGGTACTGTACAGTCTATCTCACCAGTAAATTAGTTAATTACGACCTAAAAGTACTCTGTGACGTGCATTGTAACCATTTGAAATTAACCTGTGAATATCAAAATAAACACGAGTCATATGCAAAATATTCTGTGACTTGTGTTGTGACCATTTGAAATAAACCTTTAACTATCAACAAAAATGTAAGACATGAACCTTATCACGTTATCAATTATTATAAACGAACAATCATGTGTTGTGACTTGTAACCTGGGCTGTGACCTGTGTTGTGACCTGTGACCTGAGTTGTGATCTGGACTGTGACTTGCGGCCTGAGCTGTGTCCGTACAAAAAATTCATGTCATCGGAATAGTCGTCGAAATCGGAGTAGTCGCCGAAACTGTTACTGGAATGTCGCTGTAACACTCGCCGGAATCGGTATCGGAGCGGTCACCGGAGCAGTGGCGAAATAGTCGCCGAATTGGTGGGGTGGGGATGGTGGAGGTGGAGGTGGAGGTGGAGGTGGGAGTGGGTTAATTTTATTTATTTATATGTTTATATATATAAATAAATATTTATATNATAAATATTTATATATATGTGTATGTATAGGTTAAGATATCTGATTTTTGAAATGTGAAAGTTGTTTTGTTATTTTTGAAATAGGGTAAAGATAAAGTAGGAAAAATGAATTTTTCCCTTTAAAAAATTAAAAATGAAAGAGATTGGGTTAGACCCAAAAGTTTAGTCCAGGCATGTGTCTGCACTGGATCTCATTGGGCTCCGCCCCCGAAAGGAAAGAAACTTGATCTTCCACTACAAATACAGCCTCACCGATTCAAATGTTGTATTTTGCCATTTAAGGCAAGTCTCAAAAAACGAAACATCCACTAGAAATGCAGCATTATCCTACATTATAACTGTTCATGCTCTTCCTAAATATAAATTCGCCCAACACCTAAGTTCCAATCTTCTTTCACCCACCACAAAACTTATATAAATTTCAACCAGATGCAGTTTAATGAAATTTCTAAAAGAGATAAAGCTTATATAGCCCACCTTGAAACAATGGACAAGAAGGTTCCCAGGAATTAAGCCTATCTCAAACAATGGAGGGCTAGTGTCTACAATGCTTGATATTCCGAGAGAAAAAGAGAGACATTGACAGGGGAAACATAGAGCGAGAGAGTTAGAAATGGGATATCCAAGTTTAAATTGTTGGGGCTAATAGTTTTTAATATTTTTGTTTTGGGTTTGTGCTGTTATTGATTTTGGACATAGGTTGTTGTCAATTTGAACACGGGATTAGGTTTGATTTGAGAAAATTACCCAAAACCCTTCTTTTTAAGATTACAATTCAAAAATAAGGTGATAAAGTTTACAATTCAAAATTCAGGTGGTAAATAGGATTATTAATTGTAATTAATAAAATTTTAATTAAACTAATAACCCCCACCCCACCACCCTGATTAATCCCAATCTCAGTACATATTCCCCATTTTATCTCCTCACTATCTCTCTCCCCTCCGCCACCACACAGTCAGCACCACACCATTGGCATCACCCTCAATCCATTTCGTCGACCAGAAGGAGAGCGAATTGACGCGAGTTTGCTGCGGTATTTGTGAAGCAAACCTACCCACTCACTCCGGCGAGTCTTCACAAGGGAAGCATCGCGACGTTGATCGGATCCGCTATGCAATGTCGTGCCTGGTTGTCGTTCAGTCGTACGAGATTTGATGGCGTTGCGTTTTTCTTTTTTTTTTTTTTTTTTTGTGGAGGATGACTGGATAGTGGTGGTGGAGGCGCGATTGGTGTTGATGATGGTGGTGGCACCGCGTGGAGTGGAGCGGGTCTACGGTTTTTGTGGTGGTGGCTGTGATGGTGGTTGTGTGGTGGTGGTGTTTTGTGTGGTGGCGGCTGTGGTGGTGGATTTGGCAGTTGTGGTGGTGGTTCGATGACGATGGTGGTGGTACTGATTGGGTCTAGCTGTGGTAGCGACGGTGATGTTGATGGTGGTAGGGTCTACGGGGACCTTGGCGGTGGGGAGGCATTTGCTCGGTTATTGGTGCGATGATGGGTCGCGGTGGTGGTGGTGGTACAGGTTGTGATGGTGGTGTTACAAGTGGTGGTGGATTTGGTTGTTGTGGTGAGGTGTTGGTTGTGACCCAATTGTGACCGGTTGTGACCTGTTTGTGACCTGTTGTGACTGTCTGTGATCTATTGTGACCGGTTAATTATGACTCGTTGTGACCAATTGTGACCGATTATGACTTGAAATTCTGGAATTTTTTTTGAAAATTTCATCCATAGCTAACGACGTGCGAAACGGCCAATCATACCAAAAGTTACCACTCGTCGAAATACGCATTTCCAAAATATACAAACGATTTTCTTTATTTTTCTCTCAATTTTTGGGATTATTACGAGATTTTTGGAAATGTCTACTTCAACGAGTGATAAATTTTGGTACGGTTGGCCGTTTTGCAAGTAGTTAATGATGGATGAAACTAGATCATGAGCACTTTGAAATGGTATTTAAAATATAATATTTTGACTTCATTTTACATTCTCGTAATAGTCTCGAAAATTGAAACAAAAATAAAAAAGAAATCATTTATATGAAATGGGGTGGGTGAGGTGATAACTGGGGCGACTGGGTGTTTGGGTGGGTAGATAAAAAAGAATTAAGTTAAATAAACATAATGCTTGACATAGGAGTTGACCGATCTCTCACATTGCATGTGGATCCCGACCTGAATTAAATAATGCCGACCTCCCCCATGTGTGTGTTGTTTCATCCCTTATATCAAGCATTATGTTTGTGTAGCAAAACTCGGTAAAAAATGTGAGGTTAGGACCCAAAAAAAAACTATTGCACCGCTGACATCAGCGATTGGCAAAGTGGCAAACGAATAGAAGATAACGAATCTGCCAAAATTCCCAAATTGAAAATGTCTCGACGAAAATGGAAAAGTTTGTTTACTCATAAAGCTGGGCTTCCAGGAACCTACATATCGAACAAGCTCAACATGTCATCAACAATTTTTCAGAAAGCCAAAATGAAACTTATATATTGTTCGGAAAACCTAGGTTTATTGCATAACAAACTTTTGATACAATAACAGGATGTACAATGAATCCACTACTTCAACAGTTCGATGTGCTTTCCCTTTTACCAGAAATTTAACACTTTATACGCTTGTAAATATATGCAGCACTACAGTCTAGGATGGAAAACAAACATGGTAATCTTGTCTGGCACCTACCGGCACATGCTAACATCTTTTCTCCTACAAGAACAGCCTTGAGCATTGATGGTCTCCTTAGGCTCATGTATAATTACGATCTTCAAGCATGAAGAACCTGGCTGTGAACAATGTGACTTTTGAAGCGGTTCCTACCTGCGAGGTTTGAAAAAAAATTCGTCATTAAAGTCTTGAAATGCCCTTTCCCTGCGATAGTTTCCCACAGATGCTCATCAGTCGAGCTGCTACCATGGTCTGATTTCGAGACGTCGACTAGTGAAATACTCATGTTGTTCCGAATGATGCATAACTTCCCGTTAAGAGGGAGAAGTGCTGCAGCCTCTAAAGCTTTTGAGTTCCCTAAATGCATTTTACCATCAATCTGTTTGCTCCAAGAACCAGTTGCTTCGTCATATACTCGAAGCTTGCAGCCATCTTTGCAGTCCAACGCGTAGAGATGGCCACTAACCGTAGTGCTCGGGCTCCTCCAACCTGCAACCATACCATCATAGATAGGGCACCAGGTATCCGTTTCAGGTTGGTAGACCTCGCTCAAAACCTGTCGGTGAGAACCTATCCCCTTCAAGAACCACTTGCCTTCGTAAACGACCCCTACAAAAGGATTCATTGCAGTGCTCATATCAGAAATGAAGGACCACCTGTTCTTGTTAGGATCATAAACTTCGGCTGACCTTAGGGACCGGTGAACACCCTCATTCTCCCCACCAGCTACATACAAACAATTGTTTATAACGCAACAGCCAAAAAACTGTCGCCTCCGAAGCATATCTGGGGCTCGATGCCATTTATTGTTCCGTGCACTATAAAAAACGACTCTCCTCATTGAACCTTTAACTGGATCTTTGCCACCAAACAAATAGAGGTGACAACCACTAAGAACAGCACACCCAAAACCGAGGGCTTCAGAATATTCTTTGGGGATGGGAGGGAGAGGCTGCCAAAGCTGATATATGGGGTCAAAGGCATGCAATGATATTTTTCTATCTCGGTCTTTCTTCATGACATATATCCATTCCTCTGCAATTCCAAGATTCTTCCGTAGTGAGTAAAAGAAATTACCCGCCAAAAGACGATACCATCTCTTGCAGACTAACCGCAGCTTTCGATGCTCATTTCTTGGAACACGGATCAAGCAAGCAATGGCAAGATCATCAGGAAGTCCAGGAAGCAGAGGGGATTGACTCCTGCTTCTGTCATGTGGTGGCTTCTGCCTTGTGGGGTGAATTGAAGGTTTGATGTCAGGCTGAAGACAAAGCTTTGTCCCTGGCACATACTTTTTAGCTCCAGCAACGGTTTTGAGGCCTGCATCTACCCGACAAAGGCATGCTGTTGTGTCCACCTGTAAATCAGCAAGATTACTGTTGAAGTGTTGTATCTCGGAAAAACAATGCCTAGACACATATTTGATGCTAGAGCATTGACAATACCACATTAGGCTAACACCTTGTGGCCCCAAACCCAAGGAAGGAACAACAAACTACAATATCAGCCTCTATTCTTAGCCCCTATTTGAGCCTCATTATTCAATAAACTCATTTTTTCCCAAATTCATTTTCAATCACACATTCTCCAAATAAAATAACTTCGCATGTAAACCTAATACTTTTCCCCACTTTTTAACCACACATTCTCCAAAAAAATCACCTTCTACAAAATCCGTTCTCAAGAAATGAGACTTAAACGAGGGCTTAATATATTTAGTGACGGCTATCATTTAAGGACAAAGATTGTCAAGAAGAAAAATGGAGATACCAATTGAGTTACACATGCACGCAACATCAAGTTTTGCATAAATAGTACTACAGAATCTGTCATTATGAAGCGAAAAATTCCAACCACCTTAAAATAGCAAGTAATGCCTAAACGAAGTGAGACTACTTCAGTAAGAACATATTTTTCTCCCTTTTTTCTGGATCTGAGTTTACATGGCTAGGCTTAGCTGATCTTGCTTGAAAAACATGATAAGATTAAATTGACTACATAAGCAATGGCCGTCCTCAATTCCTTCTCTGGACGTTCGCAAAGAATGTCCTCCTTCCAAAAATAGCCATGCACTTCCAGAAAAATATCACTTAGACTGCAAGATGAGGATCTTGGTTGCAATTCTTAAGGGTAGAAATAAAAAGCTAAATCAAATATTCATTTCTAACTCTTAAACAAATTTTGATGCCATGTCAATTCAAATGAAGGCATTATAATGTGGATGGAATAGAGCATATGATCATTATTGGAATAAATAAATCTTATTGTTTTAATGTCACCAAGCTTACTTGCCTAAGAGACTTCACTAGAATCTAAAATCTACAAGTAACACAACTTAAGGGAAAAGGCATCTTAAGCGTTGTTTTTCCCTCGTTTCCCGTAACTCTAAGGTTCGGTTGAAAATAGACAATTAACTCCTAGCGTTTCTTGAAATACAACTAATAAAAGCTATTAGCTTAATGAAATTATTATTTTTTTAACTTCTTATGACAAACATATTCTTTCATCCATAAGACCAATTTCTAGTTCTTTCAACTCTCACCTATCTTCTCATTGCAATCCTACGGGTACAGCTGCAGCACATTGTTTCTTAACTCGCATCCCGTAAAAGCTACAAGAAACTGGAATACTATAAGAAATCATTGATGAAAAAACAAAAAATATATATATAAATTCTTAAAGCGACCAACGGTTCCTTTGATTTTTCAAAAGAAAAAAAGCAAGATTTCTATCTGGATCTATCTTTTTGGTTGGTCTATATAACATGATACATTTTGTTATTTTCCATTGGGGGAAATCCACTGATGTGTATTTATAAGGTTTAGCTTCTTAATTCCACTATCCTTACTTGATTAACGAGAGTGCTGCCTGTGGGCTGTAACTTCATAGAAGATGTCAAGTAATGCCTCCTATAGTCTTCTTTCGGTCCAATGTTTGAAAAGACATCTATGAAGCTCAATGTGTGGCTTGATTCACGAGAATGAGTTAACGAAATGCTGGTTAATTAGGCATATCTCGAGGTTAGCACCAGGCACCTTTTGGTGGCTCAATTATGTCAGTTGATGTTACATTAGCTAAATCTTCTGCCAATTGTACTATTCAATGTAAAAATCAATAACCAAAAGGCACGCACTGCATGCGCAGTTCGGAGCATTTAAGTGAAGAATCAAATGTTCGTAAGGAAAACCGAGCTACTGAACTGGCTTGATAAGCTAGGCTTTAGAGATTTACTGGGTTATTAGTGTACTTTTATGCCGCGAGCGCAGCGGCCGGAGGCTATAACCAAATAACATAAGAGAAAAACAGAGGATAAATTGCTTTTTTGCCATAGAAGAGAGGAATGAAAACCAGGACTCAACAAATGTTAAAATGATTTTACTGCACATTTGGTAACTAGGCTTCATTTGGCAACATAGCCAATAAAACGCAAATATACTTTGGTGAAAGTTTTCAATAAACTCTACTTCAATGATCCAGTTTTGACTTCACACTCTTTTGAATAACCAGGAATACCAGATTCACCTTGGGAGAGCTGCTAATGAATTTATCTCAAGTCAACAATATACAATGTTATTCATGCTTATTTGGGGTGAGCCACGCAGATCCTCTTCTTTTTTCTCCCTTCGATCAACGAACATCTCAAAAGTTAAAACATAAAGAACTTCTGAGTGAGATCATAAATAATAACAAACTATATTACCCAACAACGTCTTGAAAGCAAAAGGAACAAAGGGATTTATCTTCCCATACCTCACCTGTTCAGTAGTTCCTTGAACCATGTGTAGCAGTGATCGACAATTTAAAGAACCAACACTGGGTTTGAAATTTACTAACTCATAATAAAACATGTAAGTTTGCGAAAATGACCCCAAAAAAAAGGGAATGAAACAAAGTTGACAATTGAAGCTAGAGCGGGGGGGAGTTTGATATTTAGCGGAATGCAAGTATTTCAAATAAGGATAAAAGATGATTTAGCAGAAATGTTAATAATTCTACTATATAATAAAAATCAGAACAGATGGCTCATCTAAATTTAATATCAGGGTGGCAACTCAGATTCGGCACTATCAGCCCTCATGGATGATTTAGCAGGATGTTGTTATTTCTATGGTGAAATTCCCCTCATCTAAATTTAGTTTCTAGAGGAAACTAAGGTTAGATCAACCCTCATGGTTTATAATTCCCTTACATAAATTAAATTTCAACTTTATGGCAATTAGACCTCAACTGCAAAGAAAATAGATAAACATGTTGGCTCATCATGCATGGCAATCACAATTCAATGCATTTATTTCAATGAACCAATTTTGATAAAACAACCTTGCCATTCAATTTAGTCATGGATTTGCTATCCTTGGTTGAAGATCCTCCAACAGAAAAAGGAACACAAGGGATTTCCCAAATAAACATGCAATTATAAATAACATGGAAAAGCAAAAGGTTGCTTCACTCATCACATCACTCTGGTTAGAGCTTGCGTTCATCCGTGTCCCCAACAACCCTGGTGACAATTAGTTTCTCGATCTTTTCAATCTTTGCTCCTTCCTTCAAAGAAATCGTGCATTTATTTTCACAACTAATATTTAAAAAAAAAATTTGCACCTTTGATGGGCGAAATTATCAATATATAAGATTAATTGAGTTTAGCTATGAAACACCGACATGCACATGTGTGTCTAACACGACATGTATCAGATACGTCGACACATGATTTTTGAAAAAAGTACTGACACAACACGTTGTTTAAAAATCTTTATTTATATAGTCTAAATTTAATTGTTTACTTGTTATTAATTTTTCTTGTCAAAATCTTTTAAATATGAGTGCTTATTTATTATTTAATAATAAATTTGAGTTAAAAATATATAATATTTTTTATAAAAAAATAACCATGATAGTGTCCAAGAAATGTCGATATCCGACACAACACGAACACGCTACCCTAGTTGAAGTGTCTGTGTTAAAGAGAATTTCAGTAACAGACTAGCATGATTATGTATTATATTCTTCAATTTCATCAAACTTCACACTTCCAACATAAGAGATAAACAAGCGAAGTAAATCCATTCATCTATAATTTTAGAAAATGAATAATTTAATCAATATTAAGAATGCAATTTTCATATTAAAAATAGTTCGAAATAGTGAAGAAAAAACCATTCCAATTTGGAAATCCTCTTTATCAGTTGTTCACAAATCCATTTGAGGTTTTCAAGAAAACCCAGTCTTTTAAAGAAGTTTAATTCGGGAAGGCGGCTAGTTGATCACTTAAGCTTTTAGCTTAAAGGGTTTGCTTGAAATTAGACCGAGTAAGGCCAACTAAAATAAAGATAACTAGGTGCAAAGCTGGTTTCAAGAAAACCCAGTCTTTTAAAGAAGTGTAATGCGGGAAGGCGGCTAGTTGATCACTTAAGCTTTTAGCTTAAAGGGTTTGCTTGAAATTAGACCGAGTAAGGCCAACTAAAATAAAGATAACTAGGTGCAAAGCCTTTATATGAAACAATTTCTAAGTCTCTGGGAATCATAGCCTATTTTCATACCAAAGGGTTGAGACTGTCCTTGATCTAGTTCTTGGCACTGAGAAGAGTCTATATGACGTATAGGGTAAGGAACGATAGATTGAATTCACCCTAGAACAGTTAGGCTAGGCTCATTAGAAGTAGACGAAATTAGTCTGATATTTCTGAAGAATGGTTTCATAAGTTGATTTTTGGAAGGTCATATCATATTATAAACAAGAAAACCCCTTGGTTTCCAATTATAGTAATTGACTCTGAACAAGAAATATAAAAAATGGATAAAGCAGAAAGCGAAAATATCAGATGGTTACCAAGGGTGGCTGAATCACTCTGTCCATTCTTGTAAATTTTAGTACTCGCCAATTTCAAATTTATCTAAGTTGGTATCATTTGCAGCTTCAAAGCTCAACTGGAAAGTTAATTCTCCCAACCCTCAGATTCCACGAGCAATCTTACATGCTACCAAATGCACAAATTTACAATGAATCAACATTTGAAATTCAGCCATTAAGTAAAGATTAATCTTTAAAAATCAGTACAGAATAAATTCTTACCTTAAGATCATCAAACTGGCAATCAAACACGCTTCATGTCGGCCAAAAATCAAAAACCCACCACCAAAAACTTGAAGATCAACTCAAAGAACAGTCTAAGACGATAAACAAATCGAACCCATGTTTAAAATGAAAAACCAACATGGAGAGACTTGATAAAATTGAATTGCCACAGAGTCTAAAGAGAGAGAAATGAAAAATAAAAATCCCACTAATGTCTTATCCTCAAAAAGGAACCCTAAAAACCCAAGATGCGAGACAGCAAGAAAATGGGGGCAAAAGAGAAAAGCACTGAAGAAAGAGAGAGACCCCTCTCAATTCTCGTTCAATTCTCTTACACCATTAAAACTTGGTGGAAAATTGGACCCATCAAAAACCCACTGGCGCAACAAACCAAGCAAAAGAGTATGCTCAACAAGATACCAAAGAATGAAGGCAAAAAAGCAAACCAAAACCACTAATTGCAGCAAAAAAAAGGAGTATTGCAAACAAAAACAGGAATTGCTAGAACAGGAAGGGTGACTGGAAGTAATAGAAAAACCTAATGGTCAAAGTGTACCGCAATCTTCCACAGTCTATACGTTAGAATTAAAGTGGCAGTAGAGACAAACATTCAAAACATGGACTATGGGACCCATATTCTCCTCAGTGCTAACAAACCTGCCTTAAAGTAGGAGAAATTTTCCAGTTTGTGTTGGCCCACATGGATGCATGATGATACTTTGGACTTGGACTTGGACTTGCTTGCTTTTTTTTTTTTTTATATCCGGATATCCCAACTTAGCCGACTCTATCCTGGATCCCTAGTCACCAGCCCCTCAACAGCTCGAGAAAGTAAAACGCAAGTTATGTCCTTATTGACTCCCAAGTTCCTGCATGACTTTAACTCCTAGCCCCAAGAGATTCTTCATCACTGCCTTCAACAATTCATGTCTTCCATATAATGTGTCTTCCACAAATTGTGCCTTCCAGGAAGACTTGCTTGCTCATTTTGTATTGCGTCTTCATTGTAAAATTGGTGTTTTTTAGAAGGATATTATTAAACTTACATTAAGATTTAAATGATGAATGTATTCTATTATTTATTAGTTTAAAATACAATCAACTTTTTTCATTCATATCATATTATGTAATTCATCATATACATTTTTTATATACAAATAGCAAAATTCTTTTTGAAAATAACAAATTATTTTCCATCGTTCTGTTCTATAGTTTGTGACATAAAAAGTTAATAATGATCAAGAATACATAGTTTGTGGGTGGATTATTTCGTCGTGAAAATGTCCCAAGTCAAAAAAACAAAACAAAATTGTTTTCTTATTGGGGGCCACAAATTGGAAAAAAAAATGCTCTAGCAACACAAAAGAGAACGATCAATATGAAAGTTTTAGACTTTTTACTAACAAATTATTATTACGATGATTATTGAGAACTCTAGTCATAAATTCGTAGGCAGAAATGTTTATTGAAACAATTGTAAGCTAGAGAAAAATTGTTTAGCTCACGATTTAAATGTATACAAAGCCACTATAAATGTGACGTAAGTGTGAACTTTAAGAAGCGTCATTTTCCTTGTTAGGGGTTTTGCTTACAACTTTTAATAACTCTAGACTAAGCACAACTAGAAAAATATTTCTTCATATAATTTTGCTCCTTTTATATGTCTATGCTTAAGGAAATGAGAATTGCATACATTGTTACGCCTTGCCACCGAGGCTCAAGTCATTTGTTGGATTGGGGAAATTTAATCATCACAATAGGAAATTAATTTTCCTTTAACAATTAAACTCAAATGCATGGTGAATCTTAGATCACCTTGAGATCATATGATTTTTTGTTTAAATCCTCACACATAAAGGGTACGATGACAACCTTGAAGAAGTTTTTAATAGCCTAATCAAATGCTCTCTTCCTTATATCTTCTCCCTTGTGCTCCTTAGGTGCCTCTAATTTCTTTTGAGAAAATGAAAATTGGCTAAAACTCTAACTTTGGTAAATGTGTCATTAAAGGGCATATTTATAGCATACAATTAGAGTTTCATATTTGCACAAATTTTTTTGGACTTTATTGTGGTAGACCAATTAAGTTACACACATTTATTAGAGTCAAAAGAGGGACCTAACATGACTCATAAGACTCAAGCTCCAATAGATGTTTNATATCTATTAATCTCAACTTACTCTACCCAAAAAGGGGATTGCGCACTTGATTCGAATGAAAATTATAGAAGCCAATTATGATTTGTTAACAATATCCTCTGATCACCGTTCCACAAGTCAACCCCTGTTTGACCGTCAATATGTTGAAGTTGACAAAATGACCGTTTTGCCCTTCAACGTGTATTTCTCTCTGAGTCCCACTTCATAAGGCGAATTCCAACGATCTCATTGTCGGACTACTGAGCTCAAGTTCAATCCCTTTAGAAAATATCTTAGAGTGACGATCGTCTCATCATGATGATTAACGAATTCCACTATTGCGTGTATATGATCTCTAACTGCTTCGCCCGGATTCCCAAGGCACCGAGATTGATCTTCTAATTTAGACTTTATTCATTGGTACATCAAAGAACTTGAACTAGCAATTAAAGGTACATCACTTGCTCAAGATTTAGGTGACTTGTTCGATAATCGAGTGGTGTCTCATTTCGAGCGGTCACAAATGAGTCATCCACGCAGTCCTGTTCAACATGCTTCAAAACACGTTGTTCTTCTTATTCCTAGGTCTAGACAAATCTTAATAAGAACAATGCAATCTTATCAACATAAAGTGTCGAACTTCATGTACCGATTGCGAACGACATATTTTGATCATATAACGAATAATGTCTCACTATACCCATACCTTCAAGTATACAATTTGTTATTTCATATCATCAAGGAACCTTAGATTATTGTCCCAAATTGTAATACGCGAATAATTGAATGTTAATTCATAATGTCGTTACAATATACTTACTACAAATGCCACATAACAATCTACGTGGAAATAAAAGTCAACAAAAAGTCAACTAGTCAAATGTAAAGAGATCAAATGAATGGTTGAAGCTATTGTACCGAAACACTACCTAAATGGCCGAAACACTTAAATCCAAAGCGCTTCCTATTAAGTCGAAGTGTTACCTAAAGAAGTTAAAGAAGAAGATGAAACTCTTCACACAGAAGACCGATACAAAGTTTACTCCAACCAAGGCCTTAGTTCATCTGATGCTCATGAAACTGGAACTGTCCATTACAAGATTCGTAGACAATCTCTAGGAATGATTGATTTCATGTTTGTAATAGAGAATGTCGGATGTGTCAGCCTGATGTATAGGGTGGTTGACCTGTTGTCAATTTATTTATTGTAAGATGGACATGATGTGAAGCCTTAGTAAAGGAGATGAGGTCACGTGGTTCTGATCCAATGGATATCACGTTGACCAAAACACTATAAATAGGAAGTCTTTGTAAATGAAAGAAGAGGACTATAGTTACACTCGTCACCGAAGCTCAAGTCAAAACGCCACATAGCAATTTACATGGAAAGAAAAGTCAACAAAGAGTCAACTGATCAAATGTAAAGAGATCAAAAGAATGGTTGAAACTATTGTACTGAAACACAGCCTAAATGGCTAAAGCACTTAAATTCGAAACGCTTCATATTAAACCGAAGTACTACCTAAAGAAGTCAGAGAAGAAGATGAAGCTTTCCACACTGAAGATCGAAAGCTTCCTCCAATCGAGGCATTAGTTCATCTGAAACTCCTGAAGCTGAAACTATCTTTTACAAGATTTATAGACAATCTTTAAGAATAATTAACGTAACATTTGTAATAAAGAATGTCATGTGTGTCAGCCTAATATATAAGGCAGCTAACCCCGTTGTCAATGTATTTATTGTAAGACATACAGTAATGTGAAATCTTAGTAAAGGAGGTGAGGTCACGTGGTTATGATCTAACGGACACCACGTCGGCTAAAACATTATAAATAAGAAGTCTTAGTAAATGAAAAAAGGGATCTAGAAAAATCTAAAAAAGAAATACAAGAGGAAAAATTCTCCATATATCATATTGTTTGTTCCATATTTATTAGCTCGATCTTTAGTGGATATTCATAGGCATTTGATTGGTATGTTGTTAGCATAATCATCTTTGTTTCACTTGTCGATACTCGAACACTTGTGTCTCACGTCGTGAAGCATCTCCTGCATTCACTTTTTTCTCATTTCCTTTCGGTACTCCGGTCAAAATGCGTTGGAATTTACTTGAGTTAGCTTGTGTGGGCCTGACATCTGTTGTCCACGTCAGCGTCATGTTTTTCGAAATCAACATATATGATACAATCTTATTTTATTTCGATTTAAAATATTGCTTATTACAACTATTAAATCTCGAATTTTTAAGAATTAAACTCTCAAAACATGTCGATGTTCGAGAGTTTCAAAGAAGCTGACCACACAAATAATATTTCACCTCAATTTTCGTTTCTTTTACTTTGAAACTAATGTTACCTTCAATTTTCTAATCTAATTTTATACTTGATTTTTTAACACTACATGTCAATTTTTATTAGCATATAAACCTCAACTCCAAGTATGGTTTTTCAATGGTTGTGATTGGTGCTTGATAGCGTTATTGTTAAATAATCTTTGTGTCACTTTACACATGGCAAAATATAATTGGTGGATGGAACAAAGCCATCGAATATGGACTTTCGGTTTGATTAGCGTAGGTGGGAGAATTTTCAAATTGAAAGGGATTTTGCCTTTTTTAACATACATATTAATTTTGACTCCCAATAATATAAAAATTCAGACAATTATTTAATGAAGAGTTCTACTTTTAGTTCAAGGATTATTTTAGAATAACTTGTTATTCTTTCATGCATGTTTGGTAAAGTTTGAATTTAATTCGAGTTAGTTAAAAAATATTTTATCGCAAGATCGATAATTTACAAATACTTTAAAAAATAAGCTTTACCAATCATGCATGGTCTTACGTTGTGGTTTTATCGGTGGGTGCTTTTTACGCAAATGATGGTATTTATAAGTATGTTGGCTCTCAATGATAGAAAATATTAATAATAATAATAGTAGAATAATTAATAAATACCCAACTCAAATTGTACGGGGGATCGTTTGTAGGTTTCATCGTAAATTTAATTGGTTGATTCAGATTGTACAAATCAATAATTTAAACCACGATCAATGAACCAATGGTAGGCACGTGAATGTCTCCTCAAGTCGAGGATCGGACTCATAATTTTCTCATGAAAGTGTGTGAATCATTCTTGTATATGGATTATTTTCGTTCAGCCGTTATTTGAAAGAAGGGGTCATATTTTTGTTTACGGTTATAATTTGATATGCAGAAGAAAAAAATTGTTAATTGTAGGGTTGATAGCTAACTAGTATTGCCTAATTGGTTTAATCATAAGCCTCAGTTGGAGAAATGATCTCAAAAACAATGGTACAACTGAAAAACTGCTGAGAAATTCTTTTTAGAGTACAACTGAGCATTGCGCCTTTATATCCTCATTGGGATATGGATACGAAATCGATGAATTTAGTCGATTTTTTTCTTTTTTAATTTAGTTGATCGTTGAAAGAATGTGTTGTAACGAAAATAATTCTCCAATGCTTTAGTAAAGTCGAAATATGTATGAGCACAAGTATATATTTCGTCCATGTTTGGTGGGATTAAAATCAGATTTTTAGTAGATTTTGATAAATGTTGATGAAATATATGATTGAAAAGTTGTGGGTCCAATAAAATATATGGCTAAAATTAATTATTGACTTTAACGTATATAAAAATTTAGATTTTAATCCCTACAAAATAGAAGATTCAGAGTAGATGTGAACCGTAAAATGAGCCCGTGAAATAGAAGTTTAAAGGTTTGACCCTGCCTAACTCACTTCAATAATATGGGACATAACATTAGGACTTGAGCCACTCAAGTGGCCTTCCTTAATTCCTATTAATCGATTTGGACGGTACGTCGGTAATCATTCCTTCGACGATAGATTCCAAACTTAAAGTTATCTAATCAAGGATGTTGGCTGATTAGCTTGTTTACATTGCGTGATGAGCATACTCAACTAATTCAATTATAAAAGTGATCATTACTTCCACTCGACTTCCTTAGTGATTAAGCCCTCCACCCGACCTAAACATGAAGCTCCAAAGATTGGTTTGTCATATAAGACCTTATTGCCATTGCGAGCTCGGCTATTTTAGCAAACCAGGCCCATATTACCATATAACTTTTCTTCCGACCTCCTCAAAATTGGATTTACTACATGAAGACACGTCTATTTCACTTGGAAGTTTCCTTTATCCCAAGAAAGGGATTACTTTTTTAATGTCAAATTATTCAACTAATTGAATTTAAATATAAATAAAATACATAAAAAAATAAAACATTTCACAATGCACGTCAAGATTTAAAAAATATTTACATTTAAAATACTATATATTCATGAGAGCAAGGGTGAAAAATTGAAAAGAAGAATAAATTAACATTAACGTAACTTGTTAAAATTGCTTAAGAGTCGGATGCATTTATTTTTTTAACAAGTCTAACAATAAACTGAATAGAAGCGGTATATATATGACATGTCTGGTACTGATTCTTCATCAACTTAAAAGTAAAACATTGACTGTTGCTTTGCCAAGGTAAACCCCACCTCTGAGATGGCTGATCAAAAAAGAAAGCCTGATTTTATACGTAACGACTATGAAATTAATATTTTTGCTTCAAAAAGTAGGCCGGGATGGCCCTATAGTCAAACATTAAGTTTAACATTTAGTCAAATATCCAATTTAACGCGTCCTCAACTATTCACATCCCTCAATTCAAAGTTTCGACAAGTGTACTAATAGATGGAACTTTTCTCTTTTCCCACAAAAGATTTTTCTGACCTTCGAAAAGAAAAATATACAACGCTCTTCACCATCTTTTTGTTCTTTTTAACATTCAAAAGATGAAATTTAGCCAACTAAGATCCTAACAAATAAATAAATGACAAGCGTAAAAATGAACAACCAAATATTATCATGTTGCTAGATGATAGTATTTTGATGCTAGGCTCGACCGGCCTAGAAAAGAGTCTGAGCTGACCAGTTTACCCGTCGAGCAATGGAACTTATCAACAATGGACAAGGGACAATATACAAACTGAATCATTTTTCAAGATAACTGATTAGATTCACTAAAGGACAAATAAGGAATCTGTTTTGCCATGAACTTGATGACCTATAGCCATTAGGAGAAGAGAGTAGGGGTGTTCCTTCAAACCTATTAGCCTTGCGATACTTCAAAATTTCCCAGCTTGCAAATGATCAACGAGTTTCCAAAACATGGGGAAGAGTGAAGAATGTACCATCACATTATAGCTAATAACTCCAATAAAAGAACGTCGTGTACACATATTTATCTGACAGCAAACCAATGTCAAACCAGATTCCATCTTTCTTGCTAATATCAATTTGAACTAATGCATCGCGCGTACGGGTAAAACAAACTTTTATCTGGCTGCAAATGCTGCAATCTGTGTTTTGTATACCTCTTCAATTACATCAGTTAGGACATATAATCGTCCAAAAGCTGCTAATCTGTACGAAGTAAATCCGTTTGTGGCTTAAAATTTCCCAGAACCAAATACGGTACAATGACCATGTAAGCCATGAATAGAGTGAACTGCAAAATGTAGAAAATGAGTGGGTAATTAGTAAAGCTTCAGACTTCTATAACTCGTTTAAATTGATAAGAAATCATGCATTTATAACATTTGTACACTTGTAGATTTACATTACATACAGAAAAGACCAGTTGAGACGAACTCAAATGAGATTCTTGTTTTTATAGTAGAAAATGTAGAGGCATAATACAATTCTCCACTTGTTCGTAATTGGTTATCCATTATTTTAACCCTTCTTCTAAGGCACAAGACATGTAATTTTTTACTCGTTTTCTTTGATTACAAATCAGATCATATTATCCGAGTCTATGAAGCACGTATTCTCCCATAGAGGTGGCATTACATGTAAAACACTAATGCTCAATGACACGTCTAACACAATACTCGACATGTTTTATGTTTTTATATATTATTAAATTTCAGGCATGCATGGGTACGCGTCCACAAGCCATACAGTGTTCAATATTATCCATATTCTTTATAGTTCTAACACGAGGACACAAAGCAGTATTTTAGAATATTACCAAATACTATATAGTTTAACCTAATAATTATCGTAATCCAACAAATAGACACTTATCTTAAAGGTTGCTCTTGTTAAAGTCAAAGTTAAAAGTGTTGATTTTATTTAAAGATAAAAAAGTATAAAATAAAGATATAACATGTATATTTACAATTTAAAGAATTTTATATCAGCGTCTCTCGAACAAATCCGCACCTTACTACTTTAAAAAATAAAAATCATGCTTCACCATGTCCATGTCGTGTCGATGACTGTGCATCTTAGATTCGAGTATATTTAGATGTCTATCAATGCCATTGTGTACCACACATTTCTAGATTATTGACTCTAATATTTTTGTTCCACTCTTTGATGATTACGGATACACACAGTCATTTTCAATCTTCAATTTTCTTAAAAGAATTTTAGAAGAGAAACATGGTCTCATTCACGAAACGTGATGCTAAGTACAGAAAGATTTCTTGTTGAAAAGTTCAATTATGTTACTTTATCTATCTCACACGACACATTCTCCTCCTTATATTACTTTATGTATCTCATTTGCGCACCCTTCCCCCTCAGCAATGAAGGAAACTATTCTCCTTGAGACAGACAATGGTTGAGTTTCTCAAATTCCTCTTCTATTGTTGTCTATCTCACCTTTGACTATCTTTCTTACCGTCACTTATCTAAGACTCACCTAGCATTCGCCCTTCAGTTATATTCTGTATCTAATCCTAGTTAATTTGAAGAAGCTCTTGAAGGTCCTAAAGTGAGAGTCTGCCATGGTAGAAGAAACAAAATGCTCTTCAAAAGAACTATACGTGGGAGATGGTCAAGCTACCTCAAGAGAAAAAGACCAAGGGCGTAAGTAGGTGTTCTTAGTGAAGTATATGGGACGGTGGACAATTATAAGCGGGGGCGGACGCAGAACTTAAAAGTTAGGGGGTACAATCGAACTTGTAAAGAAATTGGAAGAAATTTTACAATCGAAAATTTACGTCCAAAAAAATCATACCCCATGTAATTTTGCATCCGAAAATTTACATGGGATATGACTTTTTCAAATGTAAAATTTTGAAAAAAAATATTTCAAATTCCATATAAAATTTCCTAATAAAGATGAACATTATATCGAGAAATTTGTATTGCAAAAATAATAAATATTAATGAAATAATTGAATTTTTTTTAAAGAAAATGCGAGTTAAACGTCTTTCTTTAAAACTCAAGTTTAACGCATTTTTAACTATTTTCGATATCTGTTTGGATTATTTGGTATGCCTATAATGTAGTTCTCGAAATAAATTTTGAGATGACATAAGCAATTTGTAGATTCAATTAGCGCACGATCGTCGAAAAAATTTTAAAGTCAGCATATTATCGAAATTTTCGAAATACAAATTTTGAACGGCTTACTTTGACAAGTCGTACCATTTGCTACGATTGATTTAACGAAGTAGAAAACTAGACCATAAACACTTCGAAATAATATTAAGAATGCAATATTTCGTCCTTGTTTGATGGAGAGTTACGATTTTGTTAAAAATGTTAGAGAAAAAAGAAAAATTAAAATTTATTTGATTTCGTCCATGTTTGATGGAGATTAAAATCAATTTTTTAGTAAATTTTGATAAAAGTTAAATAGTTATAGATTTCATGAAATATGTTATTAAAATTAATTATTAATTTTGATTTAGATTAAAAATCGATACAAAACATGATTTTATAAAAAAAAAAAAAAACTCAAAAGTTGGGGGGAGGGGACGTGCCCCCCAGGTCCGCCCTTGAGTATAAGGCTGAACTGGTTGCCAAAGGTTACCACAAACTTCTTGGATCGTTATCTAGAGACTAGAGATGTTTTTCGAGTGGCCAAGATGAATACTATTGGAGTCATACTTCTATAGCAATTGACCTAAACTAGTTTGGTATGTAAATGGATCCGCTTCTAGGATTTACACCTCCATGACGTAAGATATACAAGTTAAAAAAGCTTAGTATGGCTAGAAGAAGCCACCAAGAGCTTAGTTTGGGAGGCCGAGTTGTTCAATAAAGGAGTACGAGTTTAAGCAAGTTTTGCAGATCACACTTTTTTTTCAAAAAGCACAGCAAGGATATCACGTTGCTTATTGTGCATGTTGATGACATGATTACTACATGTAGAACCTAACTAAGCTTGAGAAACTTCAAAGCTATTTGGTCAAAGAGCTTGAAATGAAAGATTTGGGTACTCTAAAATACTTCTTGGCATTGAGGTATCTCCTTCTAAGGACTTCTCTCCCAATGAAAATATATTCTAAATCTCTTGGCAGAGTGGTTACTCACGTGTGAACTTGCACATACTTATATTGAGGTAAATCATGGCTTATCTATCAACACCAATCAAACTCCTATAAAAAAGGGATATATCAAAGAATAGTATGGAAGTTGATCGCGCGCCTTGAGGCCCGCCTTATTGTGAGGCGCAGCTTCTGTGCCTCGAGGCTCGATCTGTGAGACACAAAAAATGAGGCGCACACCTCTACATCTGAGGCAAAAAAAATGAGGCGTGCGCCTCATTTGAAGTATGTTTTTTTCAGGTATTTGAAAATGAATTAAAAAATACCCTTTTTAAAAAAGAGAATAGCCAATTTAAAAAGACATTTTGGGTCAAACAAAATATTAAAATNTGTGCTTCTTTGTCTCTTTTCTCCTTTGCTTCTGACTTCTTCAAGTGAATTACAATTTAAAATTGTTTCACTAGACTTTGCTTGGCTTTTTTCTTGTTCGGTGCATCGACGCCAGATTGCACCTGTTCTGTTCAGTAGATTGCACCTATTTTGTTTGTCGTGAAGCTTACGCCTCGCCTCATTACAAAAAAAGTCTCAGTACCCGTTTACGTTTTTTCAAACTATATTGACTCATACGAGACCTGACTTGTCATATTATCCCCTTATATGCACCTCCACAGCACAAGGAAGAAGTGATCAATGAGAAAATTAAGACCTTACGGCCTTTAGGAGCTACAAGACTTCAAGTCTTTCCATAGCAAAATCATAAATGAAATCATTTAGTAGCTTCAAAGCTAAGAGATTAGTAGCAAGAATGTGGAGAAAGATGTTGCCCAGTCACTTTAAATAGACTAGAGAATCACAAGGTCTAAGCCTAACGTGATAACATAAAAACCAATTAGCATAATCCTCAAACCACAAGGGTGGTCTAGTGCCACACCGCACTCCCTCTACAACGGACAAGCATGAAAGCTCAACTCAAACCTTGAGGGAAAGTTGAGGGCAACTCTTAACCTTAAAATAAGATAAGGAACATTGGCACACCTGAGCCCATGGAAGACGAGGAACTAGTAGGATAAAAATCATGTAATCACCAAAAATTGAAGGCCTAAGCTTAGCATTAAAGCAAATAAGAGTCTAGGTGACTCGGGACCAGGGGCGGACCCAGCACCCGACGAGTCGAGGCGGTCGCCTGTGCTGGATTCATCGGGAAAAAAAAATTAATTAAGAAATATGAAAATAATATTATATATATGTTATTGTAGTAATGTTACTAGGATGGCTCGCGGATCAATTGGAGGAGTAGACACCTTCCACATTCAATTCCCGGGTTCAAGTCTTTTCAACAGCATTTTCCTTTTCAACTTTTAAACATGTAAATAATAACTAAATATTAATTCATAATTATACCAATGTTTAACAACAAGTAGTGTAGCTTACATGATAGAAGCGTCATCTTGTGCATTAGAGGTATGGGGTTCAATTCTTCAATTCTATGATTTTTTACTTTTTTGTTTAATTTTTCAATACAATAAATAATAACTAAATAATATGACTCAAATTATTACTCTATGATATATGTACTTCTATTATTAGATTTTATTAATTTATTTTATAAAATTTAAATTTGGACAATCTAAAGTATTGTCATTTATTCTTTTAAAAGTTCGAAAGACACCTTTTTCTTTTGGGGTAAAAAATAGTTTTAGTTCTAAAAATCATTGTTTTCAAAATTTTACATAACTTTCGCCTAAATTCGGAGCTTGTCTTTACCATTTAATTATATTTTATGTATAAACTATTTTATTAGATTTCGTTAAAAATTTGAAACTTGATCGTACATATACGATTGAAAACTGTATTTTTTATTATTATTTTAGGTTGTATTTGATTATATTTTCAAATGTATATGAGTTTTTTTAACGTTTTAATGCATTTATATATTGATTGAAATTTTTTTAACATTATTTAATTAAATATTAATAAAAAAAATCTTATGATTACGGTTATCAACGACCACCCTAGCTGACTTGATATACTGGATCCGCCACTGCTTGGGACATAGAATTGCAACCAACGAGAGAAGGTTAGCTGATTTCAAGTTAAAGCCAAATAGAAAGCAACTTGACACGGAGAATATCCATTTCAGAAGAGTTCAACCACCCCCAATGGGTAATTATCCTAATCTCAATACATTGAAAAAAATTGTTGAGGAAAAACTACAAACAAAAGGAAGCAAGTTCCATGATTGGCTAGACAAGCATTCACAGAAGATGTTATAAGCCAACAACTCAGCACAAGGCAGTTGTCATCCATAGTGACTCCTAGTTAAAGGTGACAAATCCCCTTGATCTCCAGATATAAATATCCCAAAACCTAACTATACCATTTGAACTTGAATTTGCCATCCTCCATTTCTTCATTATCCACGCCAACTAGAAAGGCATATGTTTTGCAGTCAACCTAGACGTGGCGGAAGAAGAGGTTGACCAAATCCCTCCTCCCTCATATTAGTGGTGAAGTTTATCAACAAATATCCAAAATGTCAACACATGTTGACAAAAAGGATGGAGATAGGAGGCAGCACAGGAAAAGTATGCACATAGAACACAATTTTTAGCAAAAAAGTCGTGCAGTTAGTTTTCAGAGTACATGTGCATATATTATATAAATGAGGGTACATGCACATATATTATATAAATGTAATCCTTTAAGAAACTATACAGAAGAAGAGAGATTATTTTGCCCTGGAATCAACCTTTTCCAATAGAAACATGCAAAATCTAGAACATAATCAAAAACATACCACGAGGGGCAATGTCAAGAAATTCCAAATTGGCCATAAAGCAAAAGACAACCTGCATTGAAAAGATCATTTAATACAAGGGCATTTTACGGATGTAAACAAGGAAACAACAATACATAAAACAACATTCATGGTTCTTCTTACAAGCAGAAGGACAGAAGCCCAAGAAAAGTGATAAATGGCAGTGCAGCTGTACTTGATACTTCCCACTTCTCACTGGACTTTCGGACTCCCCAAGCTAGCAAACTCATATACACAAAAAAGAGAACATTCAAACTGACACCGAGCATCCCCATATACAATGGTATCCTGCAACAGTGAACATTAACAACTGTAACTTGCACAAAGTTTATAAAAGACTATTATTTACTTTCAATAATTTCAATTTCAACAAAAGGAAAATATTTTTTAGAAAGGAATGCCCAAATACAAAGAAACGTTATTACCTCAAGAAGCCAGTCAAGTTCTTAGTTTGAAGAATTTAAAAGCTAAAATGAATATACATATCTTTATCTAGATTCACAAAACCTCAAGAACCATGTTTCAGAGGGACAAATTATTCCTACGATCTACGAATAAATATTGCTGAACAACTAAAACCGTAATGTTGCTTACAATCAAATGGATGGAAATTGGAAAGTACAAAATCAATGGGTAATTAAACAGAAGTCCTTTAGAATTTCAAATGACAGGCCTACTGAAATTTTTTAGAACAAATGCATCTCTACTTGTCAAAATATATTTTTACATAGGAGCCTAAAGTTTAAAGAAATCATATCTTTTTTCAGGCTAAATCAGGAACATTTTATTGATACTCGACTAATTAAAATGAAATGCAATATCACTGACTCATTTTTAAGATAGCCTTCTCCAACCCTTAATACAGTAAATTACTGCCATTTGAGGGCAGGTTTAATGTAGTTAATCCCATTTCAGAACAACACAAAGATTGAATAGCAATAGGCAACATCTTATTTTCCTTTCCTAAAAATTCCACTAAATTGCAATCCTATTGTTCAGCAAGATGGAGACAAGTTAAAGAAGGCAATGAAAACTTCAAGGGTGTAGTGAATGTTGAGTGTGAGTGCGAAACTTTGTCCTGGTCTATAAGTAAACTCAACCGCGAAACTATGTGAGTCCAGCTAGACATACTTATTCAGCAATTACAAATTTATATATCCTATTGTTTTAAGTTTATTCTTTTCGTATTATATATATAAACAAGTAAAAATGAACCCACGAGCTTTTTATTGAATGAATTTGCTAAAAATGCTATTCTCCAGATCTTAAGCAAACTAGCTAACGAGTGCTCTGCCTGGCCCTTGGTTCAATCCAAACTATCACCAGCTATTTCAAACAATCACCAATATTCAAAAACTAAATAACAGAGGTCTTCCCATCTAATGCTATCACAAAGGTCAAGAATGCAATTAGATCATCAATAATTCACAAGCAATCTCATCGAACTTTTTCAGTGAAGTTAAGATAGAAAACAACTGTCCCGCATTCACTTCACAGAAAAACCCTTTTCCAATTCATTCTCTATGCCTCTTAGCTTAATTCATGTAATAGATTCTCATCAATATGTAGACCAGAATAATCATAATGGGTAAAGAGCTAAAGCAAGTAGTCTTACCTTCTAATCCGATGATCGTGCAACAGGAGGTATATGAAATTGGAGTTCCTGTCCCCATAATAAACGATAAAAACAGCAGAAGCAATCCAGAGAAAATTTTCCAAAATTTCAACCCATGTCCGAGTTCTTGGCAATGAAAAAGGTTGAGACATTGCCCTTGAACATGCATCATCTTCAAGGTCATCACCACTTGAGGCATATCCTTGACTATGCCTCTGCCTCATACTTTTACACCCAACGGGTGTTCCGCCAGACATAGTCACAAATTGAATATTTGGAAAATATCAAAGCCAGAAGTTCTCTCTTAACAAGATACTAAAAACCAAATCCAACTCCCCAAGACACAAGTTCGAAATGAATGATCTTTGCAAGCCAAAAAAATTTAAATCAAAGTTAGGTCCAATGTAAACAGAAAAACAATGTTAAATAGAGTAGTATAAGTTTCTCACTATCACCAAATCAAATGGAAAGAAAATCTCTAGGCAGAAACTTCAGCACCCCAAAAGAATCATTATATTCTTAGTTATTTGTTGTGGTTAGAGTAAAACCTATATCAAAACACATAATTCTCACAGAACCCACATTATAATATCAAATATTTAACAAAACCCACAAAAAGTTTCAGTAGTCACAAGATTTAAAAACTCAAAGGCCTTCAAATTATAGACACCCACATACGAATCAACAAATCTTGGGGGAGTGTCCAACAGTCAGACTCTTTGCTTTCTCAAATAGCAGCAATCAATGTATAGTTTACACACCTAAATAGAGAGACGGACAGGGGGAAGAGTGACGTAGGAACTTGAGAGTTTTATAATTTTGTTTTGGTGGGTATCTATGGGGCGGCGGCGGGCGCGTGTACTGTCAAGATTTGCATTTGGATCACGATTCACGCCACGGATTCGTTTCTTGATCCTTTTTCGAATGCGTGGCATCGGAATTCTTGCCGTAATTATTTACACAATAAATTAAAAATAAAAAGAGAAAATAAAAGGAAAGTTACCCGCAAGGTCTTCTATTTTGCACAGTGAAGCAATTTAGTCCTAACTATTTTTTTGATAATTAAGTCCTACATTTTTGTTTGTAGCACAAGAGTCTCCCAAAAATGCAAACCATCATTATCACCACTAACAAGTCAAAAAATAAGAATACTCTTATTTGCAATTAAAATTACGAAAAATAATTTTCATCTCCCCAACCCACTCATCACTACTCATTCTCAACTTCCACTCTGATTTTGTAGTCAGAGTTGAAATGGTAAAGAAGAAGATATTGAAAAAATAGTGGGAAAAATAGTCGTTTTGTCGTATTCTTAATCATTCGTTTCCTAGAATTTTGACGTCTTTAGATTAGATGGTATTAGGAAATAACAAGTTGACATTCCAAATGTGATGTCACTCGTAATATAATATATTGCAATATTTCTATTTTCTAATAATATCCAATGTAGTTATGGGTTTGGTTGAGCTTCATTTTTTGGAGAAATAATTTTGTAATTGTGAATTTTTTGAGAATCAGTGGTTAAAAGGTAGAAAAAATTTTACGTTTATGTGTAAAATTATTTTATTGAGAACATGTATAATTGAAAATGAATTTAAAAACTAATTTCAAAAGAATAGGACTCAAATAGGAACTATATGTCAAAATTCTAGTAGAGACAAGTAATAAGGACGACAATTATGGGGAAAATCAACAAGTTGGAGGGAAAAAAGGGCAATTTCTATTCATTTTTCTTTTCTTTCTTTCTATTTTTTTCATTATACTTCTTTTTTTTATTTATCTTAATCTCATAGTTTTTTCGAGTTTACCCATTTTATCGTCGAACATATTTCATGTGGTGTAGGTGACTTTTGACTCTAGAACTCGTGAGTTTCGTTTATTAGAGACCAAATTATTACAAAACTAAAATGTTGAATGTCATAATATCAAGGAAAATTATGTTAGAGATTCTTAAGTACATGCGTGCACGTATTATTCATCCCATTTGTTAGATACCAATATTCAAGAAAGTTGGTGAAATATTTTAGAGTTGGGAGAACTTTTCATACTCAGCTTTTAGAATGCACATTTTCTCTTCCCATTGACAATATTGATGTGATTTCTTACTTGTATTTTACTATTTCTTGTTGTAAGGTTGAGGAAATTAGGTATTTGAAAGCTGGATAGTACTATACTATGAAAGTAATAAATAAAGAAAATAAAACGGTATTTAAAAGTGGATAAAAATGATGAGTATATTTATCAACTTCTTACTTTTCATCTCATATTTTTGATGATTTTAGTATTTTGTGATGAGGTTTTCATACTTTCTCTTTTTCTTTTTCATTCTTTGACATATAGTAGTCACACCCTCCTTCCTTCCTTCCTTTCTTTCTAGTTCAAGAACGGTTAATAAGTTGGTTAAGTGATAGTGTTTGGATCTCTTAAATTGGCTCAACCAAGACGACTTGATAGGTAAAATGACGGGTTGTCGATATGTCACGCTTGTTCTCATTATTTATGGATAGACCTAGTAGAATAATTGTCTAACCTCCCGTTAAAAAGAAAACACTCCAGAATCAAGACGAGCTTCCACTAATAAGACCACAATACTTTGAACTGCAAACAAGGTCTGAATTTTATGATAACAACTCGACATAATTAGAAAACCAATGCATTAGTCGTCATATTGCACATGACATGTATGACATAAAAGTAACTTGGTTATAAGTGTTGACCTATGATTGATCACGACCTTAATATTTTGATTATAACAAACAAGTCCATCTTGTTTACTAACAAATTGAATTGAGTGTTTAACTCTTCAAAGTTATAAAGATAATTATTCACACTCAAATGAAGTACAAGTGAAGTTTAAACGATCATTCAAGACAAATCACTCGAGACAATAGTGATTTGCA